CATAGGTAGTATAGTTACCCATTGTGTAGTGTTATCTACAATAGTAAAAAGATATTCATACTTGCTGTAAGCTTGTACTAGGGCAGGTCCCCATATATCAATATGGAGATGATCTCCATAGGATCATACAAGAGGTGTTGTTTGTATTTTTGGTATTTTATTGTATTGTATGTTTGCTTTGATACAATCTGTACACTGTGCATTTTTATTGTCTGTTATCCTTTGACTTATAATCTTAGGATACTAATACATTCATTGTTTGTTTTTGTTAAAACATATCCTACTTTGCATAATAGCACATTGAGGGAAGTACACACCAAGAGAGCTGCATTTTATACATTCTCTAAGGATGAAGAGGTGAATATTCGAGAATTCAGCACATATTGTATCATACAGAACGAACGAACACATAAACTACAACCTAGAGGCCAACACACACAATGGTTAGGTTATGATAACAACAGTAAAGGTCACTTAGTGTGCCATGATAATAAAATTACTGTCAAGCATAATGTACAATTCATAGACAAACCAATGTCTAGGATTGAAGGGGAGAATAATCATAACAATGATACATTAAACAATGATGAAACTCTTCCTAATAACAATAATAAAGATAAAGAACCTGTCATACAATGCTCTACACAAGAGCAAAGACTGGTTAAATGAACTATAGGTTTAAATTACAAAGACAATATAAACCTAGCTATGTATCTAACAGAATTTAACAAATTCCTCAACAAAGTCTATAACAATCCATTAATGTATTACAATGCTATAATGTGTATAGACAAAGATCAATAGATCAAAGCTATGAAGGATGAAATACAGTCACTTCAACAATGAAATGTGTGGATATATGCTATCCCCCCTACAAATACAAATGTAATTGGAACGAAATTTGTCTATAAAATCAAAAGACTGGCTAACAGCCAAATAGACAAATATAAAGCACAATTTGTAGTGTAAGGATACACTCAAAAGAATGGAATAGACTTCTATTCTGATAACTTATTTGCTCCAGTAACAAAACTATCAACAGTACAATTATTGTTATCTTGAGCAGCATCTAAGAACTACAAAATACATCAGATAGATGTAAAATCTGCATATCTTTACAGAGAATTAAATGAGGACAAACTCATCTATGTGAAACCACTGCCAGGCAGGCTACTTACAGATATTAAACCTAGACAGGTGTTACACTTAAATAAAGCATTATACAGATTGAAACAAGTAGGTAGACAATGGTACAAGAAGATTACCAAACTACTACTTAAGATCAGATTAGAATGAGCTAATTACAATCATACTGTATTTTACAAGAAACAAAATAATAAAACAATTCTTGTAACATTTATGCACATCAACAATATTACAATTATTGGCAAAACTATTGCTATAATAACAGCATTTAAACATACATTAAGACAACACATTGCATTTACTGATGGTAACAAAATACATTGGCTACTTGGTATTGAAATAAGCTGAGATAGACCACAACAAACAATTAGCTTACAGCAAAAGCATTATATTGAAAGTATAATCAAGCATTACTACTTCGAAAACAAAAAGGCACTACAAACACCTATTACTCCTGGAATAGATCTATCTAACAATACAAACAATACATACAATACAAACGAAAGTAATAATGAAACAATGCTATACATGAATATGGTAGGATTGTTAAGATATGTTACAGACTGCACATGGCCAGACATATCTTATATTACTGGGCAATTAGCATGCTACTTACAAAAGCCCCAAATGTATCACTACAAAGTAGTGAAACATTACTTTACATATTTAAAATATACAACAAATTGTTGGCTTCAACTTGGAAGCACGAACACCTTAAAACTATGAGGCTATTGTGATGCAGACAGACGAATGACAGAAGGACATAAAGCAATAAACAGCTACATCTTTCAATTAGCTAAATCAACCATATCTTAGTCAAGCAAACAGCAAAACCTGGTACCACTATCTGTTTATGAAGCAGAGTTGCAAGTGCTAGTGTATGCTACTCAAGAAGCCATTTGGCTCAAACGATTTGCTGAAGAAGTACTGCAGACTGAATCAGCACCCATTACAATTTATTGCAATAATCAAGGTGCAATAAAGACTGTAAAGTCTGACAAAATAATGTACAATGCTCACACTAAACATCTTGATTTACAAAAAGACTTTGTGCAATGTTACATTCAAAACGAATACATTGATGTATACTATGTTCAATCACAGAACCAATTAGCAGACATCCTTACAAAGGCTCTCCACATCCTACAGATCAAGCATCTAAACAAACTATTAGGCATACAGTCTTAGTTCTTAATTAATGCTTGAAGGGGAGTATTAGATTGTGCTCTGGATTAGGAAATCCCCAAATTGCCTTATGTAGAATTACTGCTCTTGGAATGTCTCGGATTATCAGACTTCACTATGTAATATATAAGGTAGATACTTGCTTGATGTCTCAATAAGAGAGAGTACTTGGGGCACTCCCGCTACACTAGTCAAAACTGAAATAGAGTTGCATAGAGCCATACGATAGCGGAACTAAAACACATAACGACTTCGCTGACAATTCACAAGCACTGTGTAATCAGTGTTGCGCTGAGCCGTATTGCGTCTGATTGTGCATCACTGCAAAAGGATCCCACTGTCCACAGTATATAAAGGCTTTTACTCACAGATGAATCGGACTGCTCAGAACTTCTCTTCCTTGCCTACTTCTCTTGCCTGCCCATCGCCAACGCTCGACGACATAATGTCCGCCCTGCATCTGCAAAGGGAGACGCCTATAGAGTCTGTAGCAGAAGATGTCATGATTCTTCGTGTATGCATTTTCGCCTCCAGCTTTTTTTGTATTCTAGTCTCTGACACTTATTCGAACAGTATTTTACAGGTGAGTTCGTGGATGAAAGAACGACGACGTTCGGCCCTCGTATTCAGCGACTAAGCATAAGCCTTCAATAGTTGCTGCCCTGGCTCTTTCAGTAAGTCTACGTGAAATAGCTCTGTTACAGGCGTAATCAATTGTCTGCCACAGGTTTATGAGTATTTGATAACCATTAAGGGAGAGGTACGCCGTGGTGCAATAGTGTCTTTCCTCTGATCGTTCGAACCTGTATTGACAGGTCGACCTTATATGGCCATCCCGATTTACACTGCCAATAGCACTCTTTTTTTGTAAACCGTTACCTTCAATAGTTGCTGCCGCAGTCACAACATATTGTAAGTATTCCCCATAATATTGTATTAATCTATTTCACTGCTAGACCTCCTAGTAAATGTTTCTGGCGACAATTACGGTGTCGGTGTGTCGTACAACCACCTTGAAGCACATACTTAACAATGCTTTCCTAGAATTGCAAGCCTATCCTGGTCATTTCTAGCTGTTCGTTTATTCTAGTGCTGGCATATTAATTTGACTAATCCCGGTATACTCATAGTGTTAACTTGTTCATGCTATTACTGTGCAGGAGGTGAGTTGCTTGTAAATGTTCAATCGCGGGCTAGCAGTAATTATTGTATAGTAACATTTGTTCTTCCGGATATATGCGATATGGGGACAAAGCAGGACAATGCTTATCTTCTTAATGATTGTGGTGATTGGAAGGTCAATTTGCTGCTAGCAGACTCGGCATTCACTCTGGATTGACTTTTAAGAGTAGTGGATTCGGTGCCTATTACTTGACAACTTCCTTTGCCCTGTCTGGTATCAGCAAGCTTCTCTCTTTAACTACCGACACAAAATAATTTATTACGCTAGCTTTCTCTATCAATCTGGCCCATTCTGGATGCCTTTTCTTATTCTTTTATCCAGATGAGTGGATAGCGTACCTTATCCTCATTTCCACTGTCACCAGTGAGGTAATCAGTGCCTTTCGGACATCTAACGCTCAGATTGCCCTTTGTCCTCTCTTCCTTCTTACCATAAGTTGAATTTAGTCTCCTGTTTGCAAGAGCAATCATCCATTGTGATTTGAATTATTATTACTATTTCATTTTTATTTTGAGTTGTAGGAAGTACAGATCGGGTATCGGGATCACTTGGTATCCATCTAAAGACAATGCTGACCGGAGGTCCGTCATATTTAATTCTATTGTAACCTTTTCTGAGTAAGTGTACGCAGGGATTATAAGCTTGTTGTGCGTCATATGTGAGTCTCCATTTGTAGAAACTTACTCCATAATGACTAAATAAACTAATGATTTGAACTCAGGCATGGCGTTTGCAAACATGATGCTAGTACTTTACAAAGAGGTGCGGCATGTAGTAAATCTTTTCATTGTTCTATGCTGACACAACTATAATAGGTCCCTTTGAGTCTCATTCTCATGGTGTATGACATTGTGATCCCTAGCTGTACTGGCAATCTAGCTGTACTGGCAATGCTGAATCCTAAATTTCAGCTTACAAGGCATTCTCTGCTGCGTTCTAAGCAATCGCCTTCTCTTGCAACTTTGAGAGGCCAGATCTAGACAACCAACTGCTACAACATCAGCTCAAACCAAGGCAATAGAGTCTAGGTTGAATCCTGAGCAGTCACAATAGTCTATAATGACAATGTCAGCAACAGCATAGAGGGGACCTGAAGGCTCAGCAAGGGGACCCAGGCTACAACTATCCTACACAACAGAAATACAGAACACAAGCACTAGAACATAGTCAGAACTTGCAGAACAGGCAGAGAGAGAGAGTGAGACAAGAGTAGAGTATATAGAGTGAGCCTAAGAGTACAGGACTACCTAGAGTAGACAAGATCAAGACTACAGGACCAGTCTGATCTTGTACACCTATATATACTAAACTACACAAGAGTACTCAGGAAGTATGAGCCACTAAGAATGATAAGCCACAAAGAATGAAAGAAAGGAATGTCAAAGATAAAGGTATAAAGAATGAAGGGATGGATAAAGGGTAAGAGACTATAGAATGAACAGAGAATGAAGGAGTGGTCAAAGGAATGGAATGATGAAGTAAGGAAGGGTAGTGGTAAGAGTTAGTATACATATAATCTATAGACAGTGCTCCTGAGGGACAGAAGTCCTGAGTTCTAGTACAGAAGAGTGCAGAACCCTTAGAACTGAAGGTAAGAGAGTAGAGAATCATAACATCACCCCCTCTCTAAAACCAATCATCCTAATTGGTGAACATTAGGCTTAGTCAGTAGCTCAGGTATAGGTTGGAATGGTAGGGTTTAGAAATCTGTGAGGCAGAGTTGACACAGAGCACCTAGATGAAGTTGATAGAAGTCTCAGATTGCCTTAGTAGTATGGGTGAGATTCTCAGCAGGTTCCCAAGTGTGTTCTTCAACTGGGTATCCCTTCTAGTAGATAAGGAACTTGAGCTTTCTACACACTAGCTTAGCATCTACTACATACTCTACTTTGTATTCTGGTTTGGAACTAATGAGTTCTAGTAGAGGTAGTAGGAGTCTTTATTATAAAGGAAAACCTGGATTGTAGTACTGAGACAGTAGAACCTTGTTAAACACTAGGTGTATACACTTCTATGTTGTCAGAAGTTAGAGTTTGTAGGCAGAGGTACTGACCTTCTTTTCAATAATGAAGGGTCTGAAGCACTTGTTGTCTAACTTCTTTATTAGACAATCTGTGGTCAGGTTAGTAGCTTCTAGTATAACTTTGTCACCAGGCTGGTAATCCTTAGCTACAGACCTCTTCTAATCATAGTTCTGCTTTATGACTTACACTACCTTTTCCAAAAGAGCTTGTGTGTCCTCCCTAGTTCTGTGTATCTGTTCTGTAAAGTCTGTTGTAAATTTAGAACTACTATTCTGGTTCAGAACTGTCCCCTAGTATGGATGTCTCTTATGATTGAGGAAGAACAGGGACTGTCCTGTTGTAGAGTGTTGCTAGTTATTGTACACAAATTCTGTCAGAGCTAGCTATTCAGACTAATCTGATTACTGATGATTAATAAACATCTGAAGGTAGAGCTCAATCTCCTGATTAACTCACTCAGTTTGACTGTCAGTCTGTAGGTGATAGGTAGTAGAAGGGTTCCCTTGAATTCTGAGAAGTACATACAAGTCCTGTATGAATTTCAACTTGAATTATAGTCTATAATTATGAATGAGCTTCTGAGGGAGTCTGTACAACTGGAAGACATAATCCTGATAAATGTACACTATACCTTCAGAAGTGAGTTCTGTTTAGGTTGGAACTGTATAGACTTGCTTAGAGAATCAGTCAACAATCATACAGATAGTGTTATAACCCTAAGACTCAGGTAGCTTACTGATCAGGTTTACTGAGACTTCTTCCTAAGAGTGATCTAGAATCTAATACAGATGTAGGAGAGTCTAAACTCTTGTCTAGTAAGTCTTAGTCTATTAGCATGTATTACAACCAGTCATATACTTTAGGATTTCCCTCTGTATTCTAAGCTACTAGTAGTTCCAAGTAATGAGTTTCTACATTTTGTGTTAGCTTAAATGTCCTACAGTCAGATTGTTATAATAAGCTCAGACAATGTCCTTCTACAGCTTCTGATCCTTCAGAATGTACAGTTAGCCTTCCTAGTAAACCTGTCCATCCTTATCCTCCTCCTAATTCCTAACCTGTTTTTCTAACTACTTTACTATAACCTAGTCCTGTGTGTGTCTCAGAGCTTACTATATGTAAGTGACAAAGTTAACATTCTTAGATTCAAGTTGGATCTCTTAGATTGTCTTGGACACAAAACAGGAATTGTCTAGGAGAACAAGATTTTTGTTATCATTCTCCCTCCTTTCATAACCTACTTGTCTTAAGAGTAAATCAGCTTTCATTATTTGTATTCTGAGTTTGTAGGTTAGTACAAAGTTATAGTCTTACAGTTCTAACATCTAGTAGGCTTAGTAGTAGTTGAGCTTCTGAGGCACCTGAAAGTATTAGAGATTAAGGTAATCACTCTAAATCTCAAACTTCTGTATAGTACTAAAGAGATATTAATACTACTCCTCTAGAGAACAGACAATTGTAAGGAGTTCCTTGTTATAGATAGGGTAGTTCTGTTCTGTTACAGAGAGGGATTCTGATTGGAACACTATCAGACACTACTTTCTGTCAATGAACTAGGACAGTACTACTCTATTTGCAAAGTCAGAAGAGTTAGCTTTAACTTAGAACTTGTCTACAACTGTTAGAACTACTAATACAGGCTTGCTAGTAATGGCCTACTTGAGGGACTCAAACACAGACTACTACTGATCATCCTATTACTAAGGAACATCCTTACTAGTGAGATTGTGAAGGGGCTAGGTAATAGTACTAAAACCTTGAATGAAGTGTTAGTAGTAGTTTGTAAACCTAAGGAATGCTTAGACCTATTTCAGGTTCTAAAGTTGTAACTAGTTCCAAACTACAGTTACCTTTACTGGATCCATACAGACCTCTCCTCTACTAATTACAAAGCCTAGATAATCTACTAACTCTTGTGTAAAAGAGTACTTTACTTCTTAGAGGAACAGTTTATTATCTTAGAGCTGTTGTAGAACTACTTGGATCAGTTAGTAATAGTACTCAACTGTCTAGGTGAAGATCAGAATGTTATTCAGATACATACTAACATGCTCTAAGTCAATCAGATCTATAAGAATGTGATTCATAAATGACTAGAATGTTGTAAGTGAGTTAGTTAGTTTGAAGAACATTATAGTTGGTTTGTACAATCTACAATTGGTTTGGAACACAGTCTTCCACTCATCTCTGTCTCAGATCTGAATATTATTGTATCCCTATCAAACATTCAACTTAGTAAAAACTCTGAATGTATGTGTCTTATTAATGAGCTCCTGAATCAGGGGGAGTAGGTACTTGTTTTTGACAGTACCCTTATTAAGACAATAATAATCCTAAACTAGGTAGAGCTTCCTATCTTTCTTTTTGACAAAGAAGAAAGAGGAGGCTATAGAAGACTTTAAGGGTCAGATCTAGCCATTCTGAAGATTTTCCTGAAGGAACTTGTTGAGTGCCTCCTACTTGTCTCTGTTAAGTAGGTAGACCTTACAATCCTTAGGTTGGAAACCCTCAGTCAATTTAATTGTATAGTCTTAGAGACAGTGTTTAGGAAGCTAGTTGAATTCCTCTTCACTAAAGTCTTTAGAGAACTCTCAGACAAAATCTAGTAGGCTAGGTCTACATACATTCTAGAGTAGAGTTGTTCTGTAAGGGTTCTAGACTGGTTCTGTCTTAGACATCCTTTAGATTGACTCTGTTCCACCTTAACTAGAATATGTATCCACATATTTATCCTAGTCAAAGAAGAACAACTAGTCACCTTTATTAGAACTGTTAGTAATATTAGAAGTATCTGTATCTACTTGGAACAGTAGTGTAAGGTAGCTGTAAGACTTAGGACACTGATTGAACACAAGTGTCTACTCTAACTAGTCAATAGTAGGGTTGTAAGCTTTAAGTCATTCAAATCTGATGAAGATGTCTGTCTTTCTAAGGTTAGTGACTCTAAACTCAATACTTTCCTTATAATCCTGAATAGTCATCTGTAGTTGGACAAACTCAGTAATTCAACCATTCTAGTTTAGGGTTCTGTCTGTATTATATACTAGGATTGGAAGTGGAACACATTGAGTAGGGAGGTAGTATTCCTACATGAAAGCCTTATTAATGTATGAACTAGTATATCTACTGTCTACTAGAGTTATTGTTTAGATCTGGGAGGATCCTGAGAAGGGAGCTAAGAGGACAAGGACTTAGAGCTAGTGTTCAGAACATTCTCAGATGAACTACTACTTGTTCTGAAGAGAATGTACAGCTTGTACAACCTTGTTGTCTGAGAGGGTGAGTATATACACTAACATTTCCTTATTAACCTCTCTCTTTCAACAAGGACAGACTCATGTCCTTAGCTGTAAACTTAGCTGAGACTATTCTTACTTAATACTATAGACAAACTACTAAGTAGTAAACAGGGCTAGGTAGTGTTCTAAACATTCTAAGATCTTAGAACACAAAAGTAGTAGGTCAGATTGTACAGATTTAGACTCAGATAAAGTGTAAAGAGAAGAATCAAAAGAATCAGAAGAAATAGGAGAACTATCTACTTTTGTTTTCAACTTTTTTCTTTCTAATAAATAATTTTGTTGATTTATTTTTTCTACTTTTTCTACTTTTTCTACTTTTCTTACTTTATTTACTTCTAATCCTACAGTGTCCATTGAATCAAAAGTAGCTATTAAAAAATCTGAGTCATAGCCCTTCAGTGTTGTATTTACTGTTAAGCCTCTACAAAATCCTAGAGTACATAGTTAGGGTTTAGGAGTTCTAAGGTGACTTTTGGATTTGTAGAAAAGGCTTCTTACTACAAATCCTGCTTGTCACTCATTATTACTCTAATAACCTGACAGATATACTATTACTTCTATAAGCAGTCCTTAATCTAGTACTCTGACTTTCTGTAGGTAAAGTATGCTCCTCACTTTCAGGCTTCTCTAATGTCTATCAGAACAGATTGATTACAAATTACAGGCAGATTGATCTGAGGGCTTAGAACTGTTAGAGCCAAACACATGTGTGAGTGTTCTGTACAGACTTAATGTATCCAAGCTGTAGCTTAGTCAAAGGAGATGGTGCACATCTTCTACTCAGTGTAAGTAGTCAGTTCTAGTATCATTCTAAGAATCTTATTAACTAGTTCTAGGTGAAGAGCTTTTTCAAGCATTCTGATGAGAACATTATTGAACCTGAGTGTGAATCCTACCTTCTAGGCCAGGATATTAAACTCCTGAAAAAAGGTATTAGTAGAACATTTGCCCTGTTACAAAGATACAAGTTTGTTCTGTGTATTACACTTCTCATTCAGATTGATGAAGGAAGTACAGAGCTGCCCTATGAATTCTGAGTACAACTCATTATTCTAAAGTTAGATCAGACTTCCAATCTGATAGCCTTCAATCCAGTTCTAGGCTTAGGTGACTGTATTACCTTCCTTCATGAAGGAGAGGACAAATAGGACACAATCAAGATCTAAGGATAGATCAGTCAAAGTAGTAACTATGTATAGTTCAACTTAGTGTTAGAAGTCCTCAAAGTGCTACCTATTAAAGTCTGAAGGGTAGGTTATATACACTTTCTTTCTAGAACAGGTTGTGACTTCCAGAACAATCAGAACAGGTTCTAAAGAGGCTAGAAGTACATAGTTGGTAAAAGCCTCTTAGATAGAGGTCTGTATGTATTGAGCTAGTTCTACTTGTAACTACTGATCTGGCAGGACAGTAGGGGTGGCAGTTAGTATAGGAGGGTCCATGTTTATACTACAAAGGGATCAACACTAAACTAAAAGGGGTAATGAATAGAAGAAGGGTGGCAAAAGTTTAAAAGGGTTTAGAAAGTTTAAAATTTAAAAATGTAAAAGGGTCAGGACAAAGGAAAGAGATTAACACAACAGTAAGTACTAATGTCTGAAACATAGGAGAGTTGTAGGGTAGTAATGGGTAGTCTTAATCTGATGTCAGTAACAGTATAGAGGGGACCTGAAGGCTCAGTAAGGGGACCTAGGCTACAACTATCCTACACAACAGAAATACAGAATACAAGCACTAGAACATAGTCAGAACTTACAGAACAGGTAGAGAGAGAGAGTGAGACAAGAGTAGAGTATATAGAGTGAGCCTAAGAGTATAAGACTACCTAGAGTAGACAAGATCAAGACTACAGGACTAGTCTGATCTTGTATGCCTATATATACTAAACTACACAAGAGTACTCAGGAAGTATGAGCTACTAAGAATAATAAGCCACAAAGAATGAAAGAAAGGAATGTCAAAGATAAAGGTACAAAGAATGAAGGGATGGATAAAGGGTAAGAGACTATAGAATGAACAGAGAATGAAGGAGTGGTCAAAGGAATGGAATGATGAAGTAAGGAAGGGTAGTGGTAAGAGTCAGCATGTATATAATCCATAGACAGTGCCTCTGAGAGACAGAAGTCCTAAGTTCTAGTACAGAAGGGTGTGGAACCCTCAGAACTGAAGGTAAGAGAGTGGAGAATTGTAACAGACAAGCCATCTTAAGTACTAGACAGTAAGGTCAGCCTTCATAGATGTAAGCACAGACTATCTGGCATGACTGCAGGAATTGATAGGGATTAGAGTCAGTTACAACCACTGCCAGTGTTACTTTATTATTTGTAATTTTGGAACAAGTTTGTAATGTAATCACCTTTGCTCTGAATGTGACACAGTTAATCATAGAGTGGAGATGTACTAAGTGGCCATTCAGGGTTACCCAAAATAGGCTGTGGAGCTCAGGGCTTGGTTGTGGAAAAAAGTACACAACTCTTCTGGCTAGGCTATTTGTTTGGGATCAAATGTCGAAGGCACGTGCGACATCTTCGATCACAGCTTCGGTGTCTCACGGAGACGATGAAGCATACGCTTGGTAACCACCATCGTCCATCACGATATGCATTGCCAGATCTTCTCGGAGATCTTGCTTTCACAACCTTTAGCTTTTGTTTCCTCTGAAGAGCTGGAACTTTTGCGTGCTATGCTTGTTTATTTCATTCCTGCCCTGCAAAAGATCGGCTCAGATGCAGTGCGCGCTTTTGCCTGCGATTATACAGGGCAGTGCCTCCTGTACTGCTTCTGTATCATTCCTGCACGTCAATAATCGACAACATCACAAGATGATGTTACAGATCTGCAAGAATTATTTTTGCATCAAAACCGAAGGAGCGCTGCCTCGAATATAATGCATTCCGAACTTGAACAATTTATCCCGGCGGATTGATGATACCTAACGACATTCCTATAGCTTACTTGATAATGGCTCTGAACCGTTTTACAAGCTCACACAACTGTCTATCTGGTAATAGTAAGTGCCGTACATATGCGAAAAGACTGTGCTGTGTAAATGTTTACTCCGCATATACTAATCAGCTATTTACTTCCGTGATCTCGATTTTCGGCCACATCCATTGCCATCATCACTTCCCCTGAACCTGCTCTGCCTCCCGCATCATTGTTCTGACAACACAAGAATAGCAGCATGCCTGGACCGCTTATATAAAGCATCCAGACGAATTTACTCATTCACTCGTACGCAGCTCCTCTGCTACTCAGACAGATACATTAGATCCACTATGTCCTCCGAACAAAATAATGACCACTTGGAAGTGCTGTACACTACCATCAGTCTTATTTGCCAGACTTTGTTCTACGGTATGTGTAGGTGCTTGCTCAAGGCGCTTTCTTCCGACTGATGCAGAGACTTTTATTAGGCGTATACGCCGCACTGATCCCGTTGTCGACACATTTCCTCCTGTAAGTGACATTCTAACCTTCCAAGCAAGTAAAGAATGACGACATGTATTGCCATAATGACAGTAAAAGGAAAACCATGTCACGAGCAAACAAATTCATGTTTGCTTTAACGATCTTCATGTTTTTGTTATCCACTGCATTCTGGGCTTCATCAGTAGCGAATCTCATTACGACCGTTAACGTTTTCTACGCCTCTTCTCCTGATCATACCCCTGCTGCGTTCTTATTGTACCCTTTATTTAATGCTCTCATTCTAGTAAATGTAAGAAAAGTATTCCTATCTCAGACTCAGCAAATTGATCAACGATGCTAATTCTTCTTAGTACATTGTGACGGATAGCGTTGTTGTTTGGCGTGCTTGGGTATTGTGCAAGAACAGTAGCAAGGGTATTTTTGTGGTCCCCTTCCTATTATTGGCATGTACATCAGGCAAGTGACCACTCTTCTAGCCCTTCATGAAGCCGTCTTGACGATCTTTGAATTAATTGGACAGTGTCTATCCTAGTTACTATTGGAATCAGAGTAACCATGTCCATTAACCAGAATATCAACTTAGACCATGCTATTGATATTAGTCAAGTAACGAATCTGGTGTTGTCATTGCTCACAAATATCAGCGCGACATCAATTATTGGCTTCAGAGCATGGCGAGTGCTGTTACTTAAACAATCTACTTCCAACACTGAATATTGTATTCTTATTATCTAGGCAACACCGGCAGACAATCCGGGCCATATTATCCAGAGAGCGAGAAAACAGCACAAAAGTCGAGCGAATATTGACACTGCTTGTCGAGTCTGGTCTTATCTATTGTGTGTCAGGAGTAAGTTGATTTATTATGTTCGGCGTAGTGGCGTCGTCTCAAACACGGATGCCAGGTCATAGTCCTGGTCGCCACGCTTGTCCGACTTCCTTTTCATACCCTTGGAGATATCTACACACCTGTACATGTTCAGGTCGCAGTGAGTTTCGCTTCGAGGATCATGACGCATTTACTCACTCTCTTGCCACTCAGGGTATATACCCGACAGTTGTCCTCATTCTCGTGAGCCAACAGCGATCGTTGAAGGAGGGCGCATTCTCCACTGCTGGACATGTCAGCGCCATAATCTCGGCACAGATTGAGGCTATGAACTTCAGGTCAAATCGAACTGTGCCTGTATCGACAATCTTCTACGACGAATCGTCTCCTGTCCAGGACGGTGACAGTAGCTCCTCTGAAACAGCAAGTGAAGATAGCACGGGTCCGGGGCGATTGAAAGAGATTAAAGGAAATTAAATCCTTTGATGGTTGTTGCCAATATTATAGTTTGTAATACAGGCATATAGTTGGCAATGGAATTAGCTTCAGTCTGAATTCGACGACTCGGAGGCATCAGATCTAGAGCCTCACGTGCTCGCGATGATATCAGCTTCTGTTCAGAAATTGCTCGGTTCCAAAGGCACGCACTGCGTCTTTGAAATTTAAAAGAGGTCCACTCAGAAAGGTAATAGTGTAGAACCAAGACTACGGCGTCTCCCAGAGGCGTTGAAGCACAATGTAGTTGCCAACTTGCCACCACACCCATCACGAAATAGATGGTCAGATCTTCTCGGAGTTGCTCTGTTTACGCCCTTTGGCTCTTGTCTCCTCATTGTATATAGGTGGAACTTGCATAACGTACACAGGCTATGCTTGTATATTCCATTGCCACAGAAGATCAGCGGAGATGTGTAGCGCCGAGATACCTTTATTCAGAGCACTGCCTTCAGCATTTTGTTTCTGATTTAGTCCTGCACGTCTATGATCAACATTACCGTTACAGATCTACAAGACCCAATTTGACTCAAAACCAGACAAGGACTATCTGGGATTTTTGTGCACTCCAAGCATGTTTAGTTTGTCCTGGCAGATTGATGGCATCCAATGTTGTCCTATTGTTGACACACTTAATGTCTACTCTGTATAAGTGTTGCCTCACATTATTTACCTCTAATGCCTCCTGATGACTCTTGCAAAGTCATTTTGGATTGCTAAACTCCGTCATCTTGATCTTCAACCACATCCATGACCGTCATCACATCCTTCTGACGTTGCACTGCCCGTTGCGTTGTTGGTCTGATAGTATAAGATAGCAGAAGCTTATAAACTGTTTATACAGAATTCAGGAGAATCGACTTCCCTACTCACACCCAACCCCCACCCCCATACTCAATTCTGCTTGTCAAATACATAGATTGAACCTGCTATGTCCTCCGAACAAAGAAATGATCACCTGGAAGTGCTTTACACCACCATCAGTCTTATCTGCCAGACTCTGTTCTATGGTGTGTGTTTTTGGTCTCTATCTTGTCTTCTAATCTGAGGCCGACTCTTTTGCTAGGTGTATATGCTGCGTTGATACCATTATCAACACATTTCCTACTGTAAGTAAATGACGGCTCTCCAAGCAAAGGATGGTGATGTAAATTGCGATGATGGCAGTAAAAAGAAGACCTTGTCACGAGCAAATAAATTCATGTTCGCAACAACAATCTTCATGTTTTTGTTGTCCACTGCCTTCTGGGCAACATCAGTGGCTAATCTTATTGCAACTGTGAATGTATTCTATGCATCTTCTCTCGATCATTCCTCTATTGCGTTCATGCTGTATTCTTTGTTCAATGCACTCGTTCTGGTCAATGTCAGTGAAGCACGCTGTCCAAGGCTCAAAAGACTTATCAGGCATACTCAAATTTCAGTACATTGTGACGGATAGTGTCGTTGTCTGGCGTGCTTGGGTTCTGTGTAAGAACAGTGGCACAAGCATTTTCGTGATCCCCTTCCTGTTCCTGGCATGCACATCAGGTCCGTGACTGCTTTCTCGCTTTTCTTGGACTATTCCGATTACTTATTTGCATTAATTGCAAAGTGTCTGTCGTAGCAACAATCGGACTCAGAGTAACAATGGATGTCAGGCCTGTCGACTTGAACCGTGCTATCGATATTAGTCAAATAGCGAACCTGGTGTTGTCGCTAATCACAAACATCAGTGCGACGTCAATCATTGGCTTCAGAGCATGGTGAGTACTGCTGCTTGAACAACTTACTTCTGTGAATTAAATAGAACATCCCTATTATATAGGCAACACCGGCAGTCGATCCGAACCATGATATCCAGAGAACGAGAAACCAGCACAAAGGTTGAGCGAATATTGACACTGCTTGTTGAATCCGGCCTTATCTATTGTATCTCCGGGGTAAGTCAATTTGGTGTGCTCGGAGTAATAATGGCACAACAAATAAGGATTACAGGTCATAGTCCTAATTGCTTCAGTCATCCGTCTTCCTTATCATACTCTTGGAGATGTCTACACACCTGTACATGTTCAAGTTGCAGTAGGTTTTGCTTCAGTAAATGCAAGAACTTTATATGCACCTACTTACTCTCTTGCACTTTAGGGAATATACCCGACGATTGTCCTCATTCTTGTGAGCCAACAGCGATCGTTGAAGGAAGGGGCATTCTCCACTGCTGGTCAGGTAACTGCTGTAGTCTCAGCACAGATCGAGGCTATGAACTTCATATCAAATCCGACAATGGCGGTATCAACAATTTTCTACGACGAATCGTCTCGTATCCAGGACAGCCACGATAACTCTTTGGAGACAAGTGAGGATAGCACGAGTGATGCGGAGAGGCTGACAATCTTGAGGGAAACCAGAGTGTCTCGTGATTGTTGCCAGTAATTGGTTTGTAGTATAGACATAAACTAGCAATGAAGTTGGTTTCGTTCCGAGTTCGGGTCGAGTGCGACAGAAAAATTGACAGGTCCTGCCTACAGTGGGAGTCCCTAGCCTAGCACAACGACCAGGGCGGTGTCTCAAAACGCGAAGAAAACCAATATGATGTAAATCGAGTTTGGCATGGATTGGGATGCCGGTTAGCTCATGCCCTTTGTTTACAAGAACCTTGCCAGAGTTGACATTTGAATATGGTCTGATTACTTTGCGGAAGACAGCATGAGTTAATAGGCCTCGATCGACCGGATGACTAACCAGAAATTCCTGCACCAATAAAACACTGGAAAGAAATCCCCTTCTCGGGCTACAGAGTAACCAGGCCGTGCCCTTGGGAGGTTGGAGGGCGCGTTTCGCATCCGAGCGGAAGGAAGATTGGCCAATGTCCACGGTCGCGAGAAGTGTTCCCACACTCGGACCCGTTCATAATCATCAAAACCCAGGCACGTTCACCGTGTGAGCACTTACTCATCTACTTACCATCATGTTCGCTCGCCTTTCTGTTTTGGCGACGGCCCTTTTTGCCGCGGTCGTGGCCGCGTCTAACGTCATAGAACTGAACCCCGATAACTTTGACGACTTCATCGGGAAGGGGAAGCCTGCACTCGTTGAATTGTAAGTTTGCTGCACATTCTTGTACATTAGAATATGTATTGAAGCACGGTTTTCAGTTTTACTCCCTGGTGGTAAGTGGTGTAAATCTATACAACGGAGTGCAGCTTATTTGGCATCGGCAACAGCGGTCATTGCAAGGTAAAGTTGCCAATAACATTCATAAGAAACTTCTGTTAAAGTGTTCCGTGTAGAAACTTGCACCAGTATATGAGGAGCTAGCAAATGCTTATGCACATGCGAAGGACAAAGTAGTTATCGCTAAAGTAGAGGCAGATGGTGTCGGTAAGCCTCTGGGCAAGCAATACGGCGTCACTGGCTATCCTAGTACGTCTTTACTATTTGCCAGCCTCCTGCGACCAAATCCTTGACCGACCTGCTGTAGCTCTCAAATGGTTCAACGTCGATGGTGGTGAGTCCGAAATATACGAGGGCGCGCGAAATTTGGAGGCTCTCGCTACATTGTAAGTACTTGTGTCTATCACAGGCCAACGGAGAACTGATCGTTTATTAGCGTTACTCAGAGATCCGGTGTCAAGTCAAAAATAAAGGACCCGCCTCCAGGTGCTACTCCCACCTTAGATGCTCACACTTTCGATGAAGTGGTTATGGTGAGAACGTACTCTGAACTGTGACGAACCGCCGACTGAACAATTGATCTCTAGGACTTTAGGATCTATTAAATCTCAGTCGTAATATATCAAGGTTCTGTTTTTACCTTCCGGAACTATTAAATCTATGTATTGCTATCAATAAAGAAGAATAAGAAGAAAGAAAGAAAAGTTACCCGCCTCAGTCGTAATGTATTAAGACTGAAGTGGGAACAAATGGAACGAGGTGAATAGATGCAATGATTACATAATCCCATACTAAGCATTTTTGTGATATGGTTATTATGGTAGCAATTGGGACTATGACCTGTAATCCTTATTTGTTGTGCCATTATTACTATGAGCACACTGAATTGACTTACTCCAGAGATACAATAGATAAGGCCAGAATTAACAAGTAGTGTCAATATTCGCTCAACCTTTGTGCTAATTTCTCGTTCTCTGGAGTCTGGATATCATAACTCGAATCCACTGCTGGTGTTGCCTATATAGTAGGGATGTTCTATTTAATTCTCAGAAGTAAGTTATCCAAGCAGTAGTATTCACCATGCTCCAAACCCAATGATTGACGTCGCACTGACATTTGTGATTAGTGGCAACACTAGGTTCGCTATGTGGCTTATATCGATGGGACGATTCAAGTCAACAGGCCTAATACTCATGGTCGTTCTGATTGTGATTGTTGCCACAACAGACACCTTCCAATTAATAAACAAGTAATCAGAATAACCCAAGAAGAGCGAGAAGACAGTCACGGACCTGATGTGTATACAGGAACAGGAACGTATCACACTCTTGGAGATCTCTACACACCCATACATGTTCAAGTTGCAGTGGGTTTTGCTTCAGTATATGCAAGAACTTTGTATGGGCTTACTTACACTCTTGCACTTCAGGGAATATACCCGACGTTGTCCTCATTCTTGTGAGCCAACAGCGCTCATTGAAGGAAGCGGATTTCTCTACTGCTGGTCAGGTAACGGCTGTAGTCCCAGCGTAGATCGAGACTATGAACTTCAGGTCAAATTCCACGATGGCTGTATCAACGATCTTTTACGACGAATCGTCTCGTGTCCAAGGACGGAGACGCTGACTCTTTAGAGATAGCAAGCGAAGAAAGCACTGGTCATTCGGAGCCGCTGAAAGAAATCAAGGGAAAATAGAGTCTTTCATGATTGCTGCCAATAATATGAATTGTAAAATAGACATAAGCCTGCAATGGAATCGGCTTCGTTCCGAATTTAGTGACTGCATCATCAAGTTTAAGAAATCGAGCGGGTGAGTGAAGCGCCAGGTTCTGCCTGGGAATCCCTAACACAATGACCGGGGCAACGTCTCAGAACCTGCAGTAAATTAATATGGTGGATATTTAGTTTGGCATGGATTGAGGTGCTGGCTAGCTTTATTTGAGTGCCCGTAAGAATTTCACACTGGCTGAAGTCTGAAAGAAGCTTGACTACCTTGAGGATGTGAGAGCTTGAATAACCGAATGATCATCTGGCACCTCTCGTATTAGTCAAGCCTATCCAGAAAGCGTCTTTCTCGGGCTGCAGAGCATTCAGGCCGTGCCCTTGTGAAACTGAGAGGACACATTGCGCATCCGAACGGAAGGAAGATTAATATTTGGGGGTGCGCTTTTCGGTTGTAAGATGCGTCCGAGCGGAATTTGAAAAATTACCATTTTCAGTCAGAATGTGGCGGTCAAAGTGTCTGCCTACTTGTACCTAAATTATAAATTTAGTAATCAAATTTAGGTCAATATAAATGTATTATACTGAACGATATTGTGCTAATAAGTTGAATTCATCTACTATAGCCAAGGAAAACGATGAGTAAAAATTAATACAGTGTATGCAAAGTGTATCTTGCTAATGATCAGTAGCACTGAGTAAAAAGATGACGCGAGTGTGACAAAAAATCGAAAAATGAACAGCCAAATCTACTGTGATAGGGTGTGACTCATTACTTTCGAGCTTCATTCTTTATTTTACTTCTCATCAAGGGATGAGTGAACTCTTTCAAAGTACGGTGGACGTGTCCGGATTTTGATGGTTATGAATGACACGTGGAACGCGTCCGAGTGTGGGAACACTTCTCGCGACCGTGGACGTCGACCAATATTATGGGGGTGCGCTTTTCCCTTGTGTTGCGCGTCCGTTCCCACGGCTTCCAATTAAGAAATTTATTGCTTATGTGATCAAATTTTGTGTCCGGTTAAAAGTAGTGATTGTACAGGAACATTTCTGTTCCCCACACCTAAGATAAAATAATAGAAAAATAAATTTCATGCTTCTGAGATGCAAATGAAACTTTTTACAGAAGGGATTCTCATTTAATTTGAAATAAGCCAAAATACAGCTGTTTTACACACCAAATCAGCTGTATCTTAAGAAGCAATTTTTTTCTAGCTAATTCCTTCTGTAAATCTTTTCATATTGAGTTTATATAGTTTTTCATTAATGTAGGTCACCACTCACTCACATACCATCATGTTCGCTCGCCTTTCTGTTCTGGCGACGACCCTTTTCGCCGTGGTCGTGGCCGCATCCAACGTTGTGGAACTCAACCCCGATAACTTTGACGACTTCGTCGGGAAGGGGAAGCCTGCACTCGTTGAATTGTAAGTTTGCTGCACGTTCTCTTACATTAGAATATGTATTGAAACACGATTTTTAGTTTTGCTCCCTGGTGGTAAGTGGCGTATATTTATACAACGGAGCGCAGCTTATTTGACATCCGGAACAGTGGTCACTGCAAGGTAAGGTCGTCAATAAATATCAGAAGAAACTTTCATTAACCTGTTCCGTGTAGAACCTTGCACCAGTATATGAGGAGTTAGCAAATGCTTATGCACATGCGAAGGACAAAGTAGTTATCGCTAAGGTGGATGCAGATGGTGTCGGCAAGCCTCTGGGCAAGCAATACGGCGTCACTGGCTATCCTAGTACGTCTTTACTATTTGCCGGCATCTTGCGACCAAATCTTTGACCAACCTGCTGTAGCTCTCAAATGGTTCAACGCCGATGGTGGCGAGCCAGATAAATACGAGGGTGCCCGTGATTTGGAAGCTCTCGCTACATTGTAAATTCTTTCTTGATGTACTTAACAAGTGGACTGGAACTGATTTTTTGTAGCGTTACTCAAAAGTCTGGTGTCAAGGCGAAAATAAAGGGCCCACCTCCAGGTGTTACTCTCATCTTGGATGCTCACACTTTTGATGACGTGGTTATGGTGAGAACATACTTCAAATCGTCTTGGCCTGCTACCTGAACGTTTGTTTCTCTAGGACAATACGAAGGATGTCTTGGTTGCATTCACTGTACGCGTTTCCTTCAGATGGTAATTTCTCGTCACTGACCCATCATTGCTTCAGGCTCCTTGGTGTGGTCACTGCAAGCGTATGAAGCCTATATATGAGGACGTTGCAAAGACTTTCCTTCCTGAAACTAATGTACGTCTATTTGCCTGACAATTAATCTCTCTGTTAATGTTTTTTTTTCTTCATCACTAGTGTGTGGTGGCAAATGTGGACGCCGACGCAAAGGTCAATGCTCCGCTTGCACAAAAATACGAGATCGGCTCCTTCCCGACCTTGAAGTTCTTCTCGAAAGACAACAAGGAACCAGAAGACTATGAAGGTGAACGAACTGAAAAGGCCTTCGTCGATTTCCTTAACGAGAAGTGCGGTACCCACCGCGCTGTTGGTGGTGGACTCAATGATGAGGTAACATTTTTCGCTGCTCTATATACGAGTTTGGTGCTGACTACCTGTGAAGGCCGGCCGTATCCCCGAATTTGATGCCCTTGCTGCCAAATTCTTCGCTGCTGTATCAGACGTAAGGAGCTCCATCCTAGATGAGGCAACTGCCTTGGCGAAAGGCGCTGGAGCTGCCGCTCAGCATTATTTGAAGGTCATGAGCAAAGTGGTGAACGGTTCCGAAGAGTATCTCCAGAAGGAATCTGCTCGGTTCGTATCGGTATCTCATATTTCTGTGATTGCATATTAAACTTACTTCGTGAAATTAGATTGGCATCTATACTCGCCAAGCGAACCTTGAACGAAAAGAAGCTCGACGAGATCAAGATCAAGGCTAACATTCTCAAGTCCTTTGCAGCTGAAAAGGCAGAAGAGGTAAAGGACGAGGCAGAAGAGGTGAAAGAATCTGCCGAAAAGGTAGCTAGAGAGGAGTTGTAGAGAGTACATTTGCACTTTACTGTATTGTACACACTTCACCTACTCACTCGCCTTTACACAATTTAGCTTTCTCTTTATATATTCTGCAATGCAAGGCTGATTAAGACAGTGCATACAACATTAACTTACAGTGTCTCTGCTTTCTTTATTATGCTGCTTTATAGTGTTAGAAACTGTCGACACTTGAGTGGTAAGACTATTAATATTGTGTCAGATCCCCTTAGAATGCACTTCATAATGCACTATACAGGTTGGCTGCTTTGCGAATTCACTGATCTTATTTTAGAATTATATTGGCGCCATCAGCGCCCGATATTCTTACAAAGTGGAGAAAGGTATGACAAGACTGTTATTAGGTTCTGATGACCAACCAGTACGAGTAGTATGTGTCCGTTTTCGTTCCACTTATGACTCAGCAGAATGCTAAATGTATCATAACTACACTATACCATCTTTGAGCAAATATTAAGCCTTAAGTCTCAGGCAGATGTCTGCTCAGCCCCAATATCTGTAGATTCTGTACGTCCCCATTAACTATTTTACTTTGCAGTCACGCTTCAATTAGATCATCCACAGAGTATTGTATGATCATCCAATATGCATTAGACCAACTGCACATCAGATGGGATCTAAGGACTAGCTGGACAAAGAAGAGAAAGCACACTCCTTCTGTAATCCTTGCTCTCATACAGTGGTATGACGTTTAAAAAAATTATGGAAAGTAATGTAAAGTGATAAAGGTTTTTCTCAGCAATAGGGAGTTGATACAATAAGTGGCAGCTACAAGTTCACAACACGTCAAAGAGGATACGAGAAGGAACGAAGCGCCAGAGGTTTCGTTTTCTATTGCAACTCTACTTTAAGATTTACTATCCTTGCTTCTTAAATTATACTTTGCATATGGTCCTAATTGTCCTAATTGTACGTTACATAAGTACATTCCTCAACTTTACAACTGCAAAGTATCCAGACAAGATCGGTACAAAAGGGTTAGCTTTTTGCATCAGTATTGTCCCATTACTCTGGTCGAACAGGTCACAGAATTTGTCGAGGCAGTCGTTGGACCAGAGCGCAAAGAAAGATCAACTTGAAACAATGGCTTATCAGAGCCAGAAATCCGATGGTGGACACACTCACAGATCACACCATCGGAAGTTGGGTGGGACTTCCGGGTCTACTAATGTATGTAAGCTTACCATTTAATATCCTACAGATATTAGTGGTAATTAAAAGTACCAATGCTTAAACTTGACTATTATGAACAGAAAAGAGGTGCAGAGAAATCACAAGAACTTGAAACACAGTTCTGTGAGACACAAAAGGGCCAAAACGAGTTGATTAAACAATATAAAGACAAAATAAGAAAGACTGAAGACACTATCAAACAATGGGAAAATGCTAAGAAAGTACCTTCAAATTGGCAAGATATAGTTAAAAGTGCTGAATTTTGTTTTAATGGACTTAAAGGTGCATTAGAAAGTGCAGACAACATGGATGATCCTGGGGAGAAAGAGATAAACACAGTCAGAGAGCATATTTCAAATTTAGAATCTTTAATGGGATCAGCTAATCAGGCAGTTTCCAAATGGCAGAAAAAGATGGAGCAAGCTGAGAAAGAGATTGCCATGTTGGAGAACGAGAGGAACAAATATAAAGCACAACTTGTTCAGTGGGGTCGTATAAAAGAGGGGACCTCAGATATGTATGGAGGAGTCTTTAATAATTAGACTTACATATCAGTCAAGATTAAGAAGGAATATATATCACAAATTTTGCATGCTTTTGCAGTGTGCTTGAATCTGGATTGTCTCCTTTCTGCTTCCTTATTTCCTTCTGGTCCCTGGCTTGACAGAGCTCTGTTCAGCCTTTTCTTCTTGAATACGAATCTGTAAAGGAAGTGAATTCCAGTGGACAATCGGCACAAAAATGAATTTGTTGGTAGCTAATATTGTGGCAACACAAGCGAGGTCATTCATACATAGCAACAAATGCGTTTGTCTTCTTCTGTTCTACCCCAGTAAAGTGCTAATATTGCATGACTTTACCATCCTTCCTTTACTGTAAGCAAATATACAGTTTTAGGTCTAACATGAATGATAGCTTAACAACAATCTCTCTACACTCCCATTAATATTATCTGATGTAGTTTGCGGCCATAGTGCAATAAATCAATCGCTGGGTATTGCGTGAATTTCAGTGTGCATTACAACGACTTTGCATCAGATAGAATCAACAAATTAGGTTTACCTGACGGAGCAAAGAAGAGTAAGGGTATGCTTTCGTACTAGTAAGCCGTGCTGGCAGCAGCAATACGTACTCAATCATGAAAGCAAGAAAAAAGGACATAATTTTGTTTACTGGTAAAGAACTGATCATATCATCAGAATAGACGTAGCTACAAGCTTACAAGCCGTTGAAATGACCCGGAAAGGAGTGAAGAGCCAGAGGTTTTACTTTGCAGTTCGCTTCTACGTCACGTGGGCCAACTAAGTCACCATCATTCGTTGCTTGATTTATACTTTGCATAAGCCTGATTGTTTGTATTATGTAGGTATATTATTTAACATTATATCTGCAAAGTATACTGATAAGGTCCGTACATACATAAGGGTTAGTGGTAGTATCGGTATTGCGCCATCAGTCCACTTGGACTCCTTACAGTATTTGTGGAGCTAGTCGCTAGACCAGAGCAGAACAAAAGATACGCTCGAAGTAATGGCTCATCAAGGGAAAACTGACAAAAACAGGAAGTCACACCGTCAGAGCTCGGGTTCGACTTCTGGATCTTCTAATGTATGTGAGCCTTCCATTTGATATCATAGTGTTGACACTAGTGATTGGAAGTACTAATTTTAAAGTTGTTCAACAGAGACGGATAACAACTGAGGAGACAGAAGCAGAGTATAAAAGGGCAGATGACTTGATGAGAGCATATGAAAGTCATATAAAGAAGATACAAACTGCTATTGAGCTATGGAGGAATGCTAAGAAAGTACCTTCAAATTGGGATAAAACAGTTGAATTAGCTGAAAAATACTCTAACGAGCTTACAAGTGCATTAAAAAGTGCAGACGACACCGATGATCCTGGGGAGAAAGAAGTAAATGCGGTCAGAGAGCAAAGTTCACATTTGGAGTCTATAGTAAAATCAGCAAATCAGAAAGTCAATGAATGGCAGGAAAAAATAGAGCAAGCCAATAAAGAGATTGCTAAGTTGAAAGCAGAGGAAAAGGTGGCTACAGAACGATACTTTCAGTGTGTTACAATAAGACAGAGAATGTTGGACCTGTGTGAAGGGTGTAGAAAAGCTACTTATAAGTAGATCTACAGTAAGACATGTCATACTTCATATTTTGCATAATGGATTGAGGTATCCCATAACAAAATGTGTTATGAAATATTTTATTTTGAGGATGATAAACCTCCATTACATAAGACATGCTCACATACTCTTTTCAAATTGAAGTCGAAAACACTGACCCGGGACTGTTCAATCTTTTATCTCTCAATCCTTTGTATTTGTAGAGAGTACTACTTTCTTAAGTTCTCATAATCATGTATCCCTACTAAACAAGAACTACAATCATTTATTTATGTTAAATTACAACTGTGGAGAATCTGGCCTTTAGCAGATTCCGCATGCAAATATAGACAAAAGCAGCACGAGAGATAAGGCTGTCTGTCGTATGCCAGCCGAATTTACAAATAATGATTTAGCTTACTTAGAGAATAGGTACATGCTCTATCTCTTCAGATAGTTTGCTTTTAAATCTGTTGATTGAGCAAAACATGAACAGTGCAGAACTTACACAATATATATAGATCCAACCAGAGTCATTGCCTAGCATCAGCTAGGGTAGGAATTTAAAGGTCTTAGCTAGAACAGTATAATGAAAGGAAGAGAGATAAAGGAAAGAACTGCATACATGTACAATGTTAGACTGGTTGCATTACAGCTGTATAATTCCACACTGTTGAGACATCGAAAAAACGAGACCAGCATTGTCAAGTAATCGCAGCCGTTGAAAGTCATGAGGAATTCGTTAAACCTACTAAATCGGGCGAAACCAAAAGACCATAAACAATCAAAAGAGCCATAAAATAAACGAAATACTCTTTCGCATTTGAACCGACTCAAATGTCACCTCGACAACGGTGCGCTTAGTCTCTGCTCAGCTTGTGCCCAATGTCCCCTCGCGCGCCCAGCCTCAGTAGCACTTACCCAGCCAGACTGCCTACCCTTCCGTACCTCAAGCTCGACTTGCAAAATTCGGTGACATGCTTGGAACGACGTTAGTGCGATCTCCGCTGCCTTCGCTGATTCGGGGATGTGGTCCCGTAAGAACGCCAGAATCTCGTCGAACGTTGATTCATTATATCCTATTGGTATTTTTCGGGGTGAATTTAAGTTAGTTTCAGAACTTCTCACTAGATAGAAGAGTTACGCTTACTATCTTGTACAAGATCGCAAAGTCGTGCTGCTGCACCGGACAACATTGAAGCACCAGCAATAGCTGCCGACTCGAGAAAACCAATCGGGTGAAATAGGGCAAAAATCGTACCTCCCGCGGACAACAACACAGATAGTGCTTTGAAGGCTACTGAGACCCATTTCCAGATCTTCCTCTTCAACGCACGTTTATCCGCGCTTTCCTTCGTCTTTTCGATATCCCTCACGAGTTGTCGAAGCCGATCTTGCAACTGCCGGACGTATCTTGACAAGGCTCTTGAATGAGCGGTTATTGTGTTCGCGAGTTGCGAGACCTCTGCGGAGAAGAGATTCCCACCTATCCTCGATTGGGATATGTTGTTGAGACTGCGTTCGATGGTTTGTATAAGAGTTCGATAATTTCGAAGAAGACTGTGCGAGGCACGCAAGGCAGCAGAGGCGCCGATGTCTAATTTATCCACTGTTCGAACGATAGAAAGTTCAAGCTTATCACGTTTCCTTGGATCTGCTCTAATTAGTCCAGGAACGAACATTGTTGTTCATCATTATTAAATATCTCGAAACGTTGAGAGCATACGAGAATGTCTTACAGGTTTAATTGAGCTCGCCAGCCTGCAAACACTTCTTTGCATATCTCCATTTCTGCAATTGCGATGACGAGCACGTCGCATTGAGCTAAATCAGGCTGAATGTCGTCAAGCTTGATGCGTTGCGGGCGGGCAGACTGTACAGTGGTCGATTTCCCGAGGGTCTGCTTTGTTTGTTTGCTTCTGCTATTCTCAATTACGGTAGGTGTTGAAGTCGGACGCGTGATACCTGTTGCAAGGGCCGCGCGAGTTTGAGGTTTCTCCTTCTGCTGGCTCGTCGTGCCAGACTTTCGCACAGTTGGTTTAGGTCTATTTACATCTACAGATAACGTTCGTGGGGATTGCGTCCCGGGTGCCCATGATTTCCTCGCGGGCGACGCTGGCATAGTTCGAGTTCGAAGCGTCGTCGTTGCTGCATAGCTAGACCTGTGCGTTGTAGTTTGCACACTCTCATGGTAGGTATGGCGTCTTGTATATGTAACATAGGTGACATGTGTAGTCGGCCTGCTCGACCTGATTGGTGGCCATTGTTCTGAAAATAGTTTCGTGAATTTGCGGTCCACTGTGTCAAAGAAGTCTGTAATCGATTCTAGGACGTCTTCGAACATGCTGTCCGATACCAGGCTAGTAGAACAGGGAGGTGCACCAGACCAAAGGAGCTGCAGGGAAGGCGGGGGGAAGGGGGAGACCTTGAGAGATACACAGGGGCTGCCTTGTCAGAAGCACGAACTATCGTTACGTTCGAGAGCGATATTAATTCATTTCCCATAGCCTGAAAACCTCGGCAGAACCAGGCAAAATAGAACGCAGACCAGGTACAAGGACAGATTAGTCTCGAGGTCTGCCAATCTCTCTCTCACGAGAAGTCACCTCCCGGATGTGAACAGAGTTCTGGCGTGCTAAATGTATTGCGTCGGTCCGAGCGTGTCCCAGACAGTAAATAGCATCTCGAAATATAGATGCTAGCGTTTCTTGTTCCAGCATATTCTAATACAATTTGTGATGTATGACGTGCGGTCTTTCTCTTCACATAAGACTGAACAAGCCATCCACATTGAGACAGGGCCTGGAATGCGAGCCAAAGCAGGTACAAAGGAGTGAGCCAGTAAAGTGTAGTGGGAGGACGGAGTAGAAAGATAAACACGCGCCCATAGCGTGTTCGAAAACCTTCTAACTCTCGGCTAAGTCCGAGCATCAGCCACAGACGCGTCGCGACGCGTCTCGTTTCTTGCCGATTTTACTTGTCTCGACCATCTGCACCGCTCAACTCTATTCTTTTCTTGGGAAGAAATATGGCTAAAGAAAACTCACAAGAATCACAATCAGACCAAGTCGAGTCTCAAGAGTCCGAAATTATCGAAGAGACGCAAGATCAAGACATCATTGTCGATGCAGATACAGCACATTCTGGCTCCATTCCCTCACTTCCTACACCGTTTCGTCCACTTACCGAAACGTACTCGTATCATTCTCCGACACCTACCGCGAAAGGACCCTATATCCTTGGCGTCGATGAGGCGGGACGCGGTCCTGCACTTGGTCCAATGGTGTACGGTGTCGCGTACTGTCCTGTTTCGTACAAGGGCCAACTTGAGGAACTTGGTTTTGCTGGTGTGCTAGTCTTAAAATTTATATACACTTTCCGAGCCTAATGTTGACATGATTAAAGATTCCAAAGCGCTTACACACGACAATCGTGCCGGCTTACTAGAAATACTCAGCTCAGACCCAGAAAACCTTGGCTGGTCAGTTCGGGTCATCAGGTGAATAAATTCCGAATTGTCTTTGATATTTGCTGTGCTTAATATAATATACTGTACCAGTCCTCAGGCAATATCAAGTGGCATGCTTCGAAGACCACCGACGAATCTAAACAAACAAGCTGAAAATGCAACCATCACACTCATTCAAGAAGTTCTCGACAGAGGTATCGTATTGTCTGAGGTCAGCTTTGGACGACTTAGAAGGACTCCATATATCAGTGTCTAATACGTATAAACTCCCCCCAGGTATACGTCGATGCACTTGGAAACACAACCACATATGAAAAGCACCTCTCCAACCTCTTCCCAAATATCTCCTTCACAGTCACTGCGAAAGCCGACTCAAAGTTCAAGATCGTCGGAGCAGCCAGCATTGCTGCAAAAGTGACACGCGATGCGTGGATCACTGGTTGGGCCTTTGAAGAACATGAATCGAGTCCACAATATACGTGGCCAGATGAACGAGGCAGTGGCTACCCTTCTGGTAAGGAGATCTTATTTCTAATGGTAACTGAATATTATATTTATGAGACTGACTATTTTCAGATCCGAAAACACAGGCCTGGTTGCGCGATGCAGTTGAACCGACGTTCGGATACCCTTCTTTAGCTCGGTTCTCTTGGGGGACAATCAAGGTAGCGCTTGATAAGAACGCTCATCCTGTGAAATGGTATATATATTCTTCCATCACTGGAACAATATTTAATAAGCATGCATCTTTAGGACTGACGAGGGACAGGCATCATTAGTGAAGGCCTTCGAGACTGCCAAAGGAAGAGAAAAAGGGCGGTGTGTATTAGCAAGGGAATTGAGTATCCAGAGCGTTGGGGATTTATGAGTTTGATTTTACGTTCATTCTACCATCATGTTATTGTATCTACAGACTATAGATTCACACCCCACGCAGGTCCAGAAAACATATACAACCTAATCCAAAGCATCTCAAGCAGTAGCAACAAACAAATACAACAAAATACAATTCAGCCAACAAAGAAATCACCATTCTCTACCCAGCATACCCCGGAAACCCATCCGCCATCCCACGCGTAATCCTCCGTCCATACATATCCGGCGTCCCCACAGGAGTACCATTAACAGCCATCATCCCAGCAGCACCAGGTCTCGTCGGCGTCCCAACATCACCAAAGTACTGTCCCTGAGCCGAACCAGGTGTATGATTCCCGTACGTCATGCCACCACCGCGATTTGGCGTGGCGTGACCCATAATGGGTGTACCGGCGTTCGTTGCGTATGGGAATTGTTGGTTCGTGAGTGTTACTTGACGAGGTTGTTGTTGATGGGAATGTGCGAGGGCTTGGCGTTGGTGTTGTTGTTGGGAGCTTCCTCCTGCGACGGAGGGGTTGAGTTGTTGTTGGATTGCACGGGTGGCTTCGAGGAGTGGTGATGGATCGTAGTATAGGTCGGATTCCTTCTCTACGAGAAACCTTTTACACGATTTCATTGGTAAAACTTAAAATTTCGACGAGTTAGCAAGATACGTACTGTTGTGTGCTCATGTCCCAGAACGGTCCCCTCTGAGCCCTCGCACTAAGCAAAAGCGAATTCCACTCTGACGCATTTTCCTATTCATTCCATTCCGATCATATCATGCACACAAAGAAAAGACGTAAATAATTAGCAAAGACCTACTCTCAAGCGGATCGACCAGACGTACCAAAGGAACACCAGACGAACCCGGCTGTTCTTGCACAGGTGGCATCAGCTGCACCAGAGTTTTCTCCCGGTTCGCGACCTTACGCACGGTCGAAGTCAACGAAGGTCCCAGACGCTGTGCATTATGTCGCGGTACACGAATTTTAATGGATTTTGAGGGCTTGCAAGGCGCCATACCATACAGTCAAGAGTCAAGATCGGTAGTGCAATGAATTTCGTTGATCGACGTAGGATTACATAAACAAAGGATTAATTCAATTATTACAACATTTTCGTGATGAATCAAAATTGCGGAGGATATGCATTAAGCTACGCTAGTCACCGTACCGAACAGAAGATAAGGACATGGAAAGGGAAGTGGACAGGCTGAAAATCTATCGTCTCTTTGCAGGCGGCGTTCCCGGTTCGTCCCCCGCCTTCCTCTTCGCACCAAACCCAATCGTTACCTTCGTCCGCTCCGCTCCGCCTGCTGACATAGGCGAATCAGTTCTAGATACAGGCTCCGACACTTGAGAGAAGCTATGCTTCATCATTGATGGTGCTGGCGAGTCTGAGTTCCTCGTTCCAGGGCCTGGACTAGATGACAAGGGCCGTGAAGGAGGTAAGGACGTGAACCCAGTCATGTCCATCGCAGCTAGGGACTGGTCTTTCGCTGCCGAGCTCTTCTTTTTCTTCGTTTTTTCGGTTTTGCCTTTAGAAAGTGTCGGAGGGTCGAGGAATTCTGCAGCTTGGGGTACAGCACTAAAAAGAAATACGTCAGTGAAATGAAAGAACGTAGCGAATTAGGAAGAGACCTCACCCTCTATTGCCCACGGACAGAACGAAATGAGCCTGTCCAGCCTTCTCCTGACGCATCTGGAACGCCCTATTCATAGACAATGGAGTATCCCCACTAATCATCGCTTCCTTCTTCTTTTCTTCCGCTATCTTCTTCAGCCGTTTCTCTGTCTTCATCTTTCCCGATCCCTTGCCGTGGAAGCGATGCGACAACGCTTTCCAAGCTTCCTTCGGCGTCAATTCTCGTCCAAATTCATCGTGATACACAATATTGACGTCAGGCTTGTAATCGTTGAAGAGATCCATATTCTCGCGCGCCTCCTGCTGCTCTCGTAACCGATTTTCGTATTCACGCTGAGCCTGGTCTTTCTTCTCCCCCTTTGCCTTTACACGCTCAAGTTCGCGCAGTGCCTGCCGTGCACGGTAGTCAGCTAGCCAGAGGTCACGTTGTTTTTGTACTCGCTCCCGCTCCTTCAGGTCCGCTGTTGGTGCCGCCAATATCCCTTGTTGACGTAAACTCTTGAGCGTTGAAGCGAGACCTGCGCCGTAGGTCTGTTCTGATGCAGTGCCCACTTCAGCGTCCTCTTCTTCTTTCTTGACTACCGCCTCAGCCGACTGAATAGCGTTCTGAAGCTCATGAAGCATGACTTCCTCATCTTCCTCCTCCTTCATTGTAACTTCTCCGGCCTCCACTTCATCCATCTCCTCTTCGTCGTGCATGTGCACGTCCCCATTCGATGGTTCCTGCTTTATCGACTGCTCCTGGGGCTCTACTTTCGGCTTTACTGCAGTAGGGTCGTACTGGACGGAACGAACGAATTCTGATGTATCGTCAAAGACGAGACCGGAGTCTTCTTCATCTTCGACTTTCACCACGGAATCCTCTGGAGCCGCGCTTTGCCTCGCTCGTTCTTCGGTAACTAAATAAATTATAGGTTAAACAAATTTGCAGGTGAAGGGGCAAGGTAGATACGTACGTTTCTTGGCGATTTCCTCCTGTGTAAGGACTTTGGGTTTCCGCATGGTCTTTGCTCGTCGCGCACGCGCAAGGGACGCTTGAAGCTCATCGTCATCAACAAAGTTGACGTCCAGATTTCGCACTCTTGATGCGGTTGGCTTCTCATCCACTTCCATACCATTTTCACCATTGATCGGTTCGATACCAGAATCTTCGGCAACTCGGCGCGAGGGGCGTTTCTTCTTGGTCTTTGGTTTCTTGAATCCAACATCACCCTCCTGTACGTAGTCGGCGACTTCCAAATTCTCTAGATAAGAGTGTGTGAGAGTCTCGACTTGCGGTATGTGTGATGCGAACTTACTGGCATAGTCAATGGAAAGTAAAGATTTATTTACGGATGTTGCAGCCCTTTCTTGCTCTTCCTTGAGTTGAACAGATTTGCTTGGGACATTGGCCCCTAGACGGAAGCCCTGCATAAATTCAAGATCGGTTAATTAGTGACGCCCGAATATCCGGAGGATGTCAACAAGTCACTCACAGTCTCCTTTGGACCTTCAAGGTCTTCATCATACTTGGCAAGGATTGACCGTCGGATACCCGCCTGTCCTTCAGCAAATTCATCATCATCATAACCCTTATAGTCTCTCTTCTTCATCTTTAATTCATTGCTCTTCTTTACGCGTTCGATTTCAGCCATCTCCACGTTCTGCAGCTCGTCCTCTGTACAAAATAGTGAGCGAAGGCCAGAAAAATATCGACTATCATACTGACCTTCGTTATCGAGAATTCGACTATCCTTAAGTGTCAAGATACGATCCTCGCCCTCGCCGAGTTCCTCAAAGTCGTGAGCAACCTTCAGACCCTCTATGTCCTCTATGGAAAGAAGGGGAGATCAGTTCATGGTATGTTCGGAATCAGGGTTGTTTGACAACTTACTCTCGGTATATTCATCGCCTTGGAATTGCTTATCCATATTTTCTAGCTCCTCCACCCTCTTCTTCGCGAGCTCCTTTTCGCGTTTCTTCGCTTTCTTTATCCATTTTAAGGTGTCATCTGCTTCCGCGTCTGCGTCGCCCAATGTAGCTCCCTTCAGCGATGCATTGAGTTCACGCTTGTTCTTTACCCTGAACGACAGAGGTAGTGAGCACTCTGCTCAACTGCAAGGAGAGGTAGAAGCAACAGCCGGGGTAAATATACTTTAGAGACACTTACTTTGCAATTTTATCCTGTAGCCGCCTAGAAAAACATCAAACGACCGTCAGTTGTTTGAACCATGTGTCTTCATGTAGCGACGTACTTCTTATCTCTTTCCTTCTCCTCTTCCTCCCGCTTCTTCGCGTAGTTATTCTCTGCCTCCTTCTCTTTGTTATCTGCGGGTGCTTTGTCATCCGTGAGGGGCTTGAGACCGAGAGAAATACGGATCTTGTTGGTCTCCTCTAAGCTGATGCTTTCTTCCATAATTGTCGATAAGTTAACCGGGAAAAGTCTAAGAAATTAGTCAAGCGAAGAAGAGAGACAGCCAGACAGATGCTTGAGGATGGGTGGACGATGAATGGCCGCAGAGACAACAGGAACACAGTCGGTGGTGGTGGAGGTCGTTGACAGAGAGTGTGACGATGACAGACGCGGTCCAGTCACTCACTTACTTGCAAAGTCAGTGCACGTGCTTCGGCTTCGGCACCGCGTCTCTTGAGAACACGTCTGCTTTCAGCCTTGGACTTTTGCAACGACTACCATTTTCTGTATGGATAGATAAAGTAACTCAGGGAAATATTGCAGGAACGAAGGTCTGATTCTGTACTTCGCCTGCTTGATCGAGAAATCCTGACTTTCGCAGATGAATTTCACAGGTGCTTCACTCTGGCGAAATATCCGGACGAGCTTTTTCCGTCCAAAATGCCCGACGCTTCAGTCTTGGGCATTTCAGAGCCGCGCATTCAGCATTCGCCGTCTCTCGACCAAAGCCGAGAGTGAAATAAACCCTCAAGAGCTTGCAAAACATAAACCAAAGGCTGCTACCCAACTTCGACGAACCGCTGCTGCTTCACTCCCTATTCGTGCGAATCCGAATCCCTCGAGAGGAGAAATTCGGCCAGTCTCTGTTCTGACGACAGCAGAACGCTATCTATTTCCACAGCTACGATTCCGTCTTCCTGCAGCGGCAATCAGGTTACAGAGTGCTTGGTGGATCCCGAGATGGGCTGGACTCGACGGAAAGGAAGGAGAAATTTTTGTTTTTGAGAACGGAAGTCTTGTGTGCTGGGGTTTAGAGGAGGCCGACGCGCATAAGTTTGCTAGGGATTTCATCTCTGGGTCGATTGCAGAAGTTGGGCATTTGGAGGAAGTAGAGACCGAGGATGTAGAGTTCGTAACGGATCCAAATGAGTGAGCGAAATATCTAGCCTTCTAATCCTTGAAGAGAAATATTGACCAAAAAAATCCAGGAAAACTCGCATCCAGGGAGACCTCATCATACTCGGAAGCAGTCCACCTCCCGAAGAACCATCCTCTCTCCCGTCCTCAATCCCAGAAATGGTTCTCCCCAAAGACACATTACTCGCTCGCTACGCGTTTTCTCAAGGCCTCGCTCGTTCTTCCGCACTATCCGCACTCGAATCGAAATTAGATTCATTTATCGTTTCAGTATCGGTTCTTCCAGTGACGTTGTCGAAAACCGGGAAAGTCGGCCTTTCGAGACGAGAGGTGATCATGAAACTTGGTGAACTTATGATGTTTAGACAAGGCTTGAACCTCAATCATGAGAACTTCCTTGATACACCTGATTTTTACTGGGCTGAGCCTCAGTTAGAAGGTATTCAATCTTCTTTTTCAAAATTCTTGAACCTATATCTAAATTGGTGTTTAGCTTATTTCAAATCGATATCCGATGGTTTGGACATCCGAGCACGCACTCAACTTTTAAATAATAAGATCACTTACGCCTCGGAGGTAGGTTAATTCAATCTTGCGTACCATAATATTATACATTAATGCATGGTCGTCTAGGTCCAATCGGTTCTTCGGGAACTTCTCACTGAAGTACGTACAACTAATGAAAATTCATATCGTCATTGCTAATGATCGACTAGTCCTCCGCTCATCGAATGGAATTAATTATCATTCTTCTCATCTCGGTCGAAGTCGTCATAGTAAGCCATCCAGTCTTCTTCAAAGCTTATCGCGATGCTCACGACATTTAATTAAAGTGCCTTATCCGCGACGGACCAGATCTCTGGCAAATGATAGTCGGGACGGAGGATAAGGAATCCTCGGCAACGACGACAAAAAGGCATCACTAACGTTATAATGACAATACCACTCACTCCTTGCTCATCCCTACACCCTACTCAGCCAACGCAACGCATATGTGGAACCATCTATAGTACTATATACCGTAGACATATAACTGCTTTTCTGACAATCACAACAATGTAGACGTCGCAACGCACCACTCAACATAGAGCACAAAAATAAATGCAATGCAATTGAAAGTCGCAGTCATGACATTTCTACGTCTTCGTCAGATCCATCGACGTCCTCCCACTGTTCCTCTTCTCCACCATCGTCCCCTTCCTCAGCAGGTGTCGGCTTAATTCCCAATGCATCGAGTTGGTTTATGAGCTCTGACGTATGTTTGAGCAACTCATCATCCGAGTGTTGAAGATTTGTATGCAGCTGAATCAAAAGGGAAAAGTCAATCAATATTAACCCACCACCCGAAATGCAAGTCAAAATAAGCCTACCGTCCTGCAACTCTCCAAACAATCCCGAGAATCCTTTGCGAGTTCCTCCCAAGACAAATCTTCGATTTTCGTTTCCGTTTCTTTTGCTTGCTCGGCCATGAGGAAGAAACACCAACCCTCGAGGTACCATGCCTCGACTTCTTGGTCGTCAGAGGCCATTACGGTTTGCAAAACGGATAATGCGGGAGAGTATTCGGATGATTCGATAAATCGCTTTGAGAGCTCTATTCGAGTGGGTATTGGTGGTAGTTTGGAGTCATCTGCGTGTTTATTGGCGAATAAGTGATAAACTGAAGTTAGAAGTTTTACTTAAATACGCGGACCTTCTTCAACATCTTTGAATGATAACCAGGCTTTCATCGCTGCATCTTTTGCTTCTTCCGGGCGTTGTTGGGATAGCCGGAATGAAGAAAGACAAATCAAAGCCTCGACGTTGTCCGGATCGGTCTCGAATGCAGTCTTTAGCAAAGATTCGCAAGTCTCCTCTGCTCTAGGGTCGAAGCTGGATATTCGTCAGAATCCGCATGGTTGGGGTGAAATTATTCGTTGGGGTGTGGGACGTACCATAAATCATAAGTCGGTGCCATCCAAATCTCAACCATCGCAACCAAAACCCGTACGATGTTCTTCCGGATGTCCGATTCATTTTCACCACCGTTATCTTGTGTGGCCCGTTCCTTGCCTTTTAGTTGTCCATGTAAGATACCGACGGCCGCTTCATAGTGCTTGAGAGCTAGATGTGGATCCTCTTCGCTGAGTTGCGCCAGATATAAGTGAGCTGAAGGAGGTGGTGGGTTTGGAGCACCTGGTGCAGGCGGGAGTAAAGATTGGAACGTCTAAAAACCAATGAACAAACATCAGAAGTGCGTTTAATAATTAGCAGCAAAGACAATCATACCTGCATTGCCTCCTCAAGTTCACCCTTCTCAAGCTGGGTGACTCCTAGCAACTCCTTCGCGTCTGCGTTGTGAGGGGCACGTTGCAGAATGCGCAAGGCAAATTTTTGGGAAAGGTCATAATCGCATTGTGTTAGTAGCGATTGGGCTTTTGAGAAGAGAGATTCGATTGATGGGTCTTCCTTTCCAGAAGATGAGACTGTTGATGTTGCTTTTTTGTTCTTTACTCTTGTACGCCCCATAGGAATCGTGGAAGTAGAAACGAGACACAAATGAGTTCAGAAATAAGTATTAAAGTAAGCTAAAGCAGCAAGGATCGACGCTTGGATCGACGCTTTCTTGCTTGCCTCCCCTCGACGAGAGTACTCAACTTCACTTCTACCAGCATCTACTTTTAATTTATCCCAATGGCAGACGAGTTCGCAAATAACTTCAACGAGGATGCGCTCTTCTTAGAACGCCTTGACGTCTTTCTCGAGAAAAGCTTGGACGATTTGCAAGAATTCGCTCGAAGAGAGGGACGAGACTTTGAACACGTAGGTTTCAACGCGAACTACGTTAAAGTGGCACGGACATAATAAATAGTCAGATCCGTTTAAAAGCTGCAGAATGGCATAGCAGATATCTATTTGATCAAGCAAGAAAAGAACCGCATAATGACGAGCCCAATCAAATGGCTCGGTCGCTCGGTGAGCTGCTACAAACCTCGTCATTCGATGGTCATTCACGCTTAATCTAATCTGCCTAGTCCACGACGTACTTGACAGGACCTCGAGAACACTTGAATCGCTCCTGACAGTTGCAGGACACCACTCCTTTCTACTGGTGGTCGACCCTTTTGCAGCAGATAACACTGACGAGGGCTTCCTCGGAGGCACTACCGTAGGACGTGAATACTGGCGGGGTCTCAGGAACGGTGGTGCTACCGGCGCTCGAAATTTCAAGGAATTTTGCAGGAAATCTTCAGGCTCTCAATCTGGTGTACAAGCTCCGGTTCTTGCCCTGACTTCCGCCAGTTCGAAGCAAACTCCAGCTGGAACCATGAAGAACAATCTTTATGTTGAGATGCGGTCCAGACTGAGGTGAATGATCTGATCGTTCCTAAGTAATAGCGCAGACTAATATCTCACGAAACAGAGCTGTAAGCGGTGTTCGAAATGCCGAGATGAGATGGACAAAGCCCGAGAAGCTTTCTGCGTATGGTGTCGTCCTTGAAGGCTGGCCTAGAGAAATTGAGTACAAGAACCCGTCAAAGATGTCCTTTCATGAAACGTCAACAATAATGAGACTGCTCCAGGAGAATAAGATGTATTTCCGCTCATTGCACGAGGGAGATGCTACTACTCTACTTCACCCTCCCGTAACGACTCCTTCCGCAGATGTGTCATGGGCGCTGCACGACGACACTTAGTTCCTTGTTTCAGGAACATCGTTGCTCAATCATCACTTTCCAAAGTTTCTTTGCCGTCGCAGACCGGATATATTTAGTCCATTCCCAGCTCATTACCGTGCGTTAGAGACGTGGGCGTCTAAGACGCTGGATACGGCCATAGACGGATTCGGGCACGCTTACGAAGAGTGCCTGGCCAATGTTCGAATCAACGGAGAAGCTCAGCTTGCTGAACTAAGGCCCGTCTACGAATCATGCGCTGAACACGAATTAGCCCTGCTGCCCTTGATCTGTCCGATAGCAGATGATGGCATCCGAAATTCAAGATTAGCGCCTGACTATATCAGGGACTAAATGTGTAGATTATTGTCAAGACCAATCTCCGAACATGCACACATGAGCGTAGCGCTAGACGAAGCGTCGAAAAGCAACGGGAGCAGACACGTTTTCCGCAGATCGAGATCTACTGATCTGGTGAGCGTACTCTCAACCAGAAGTTGCAAGGGTACAAAAGGATCAAGGGAAGCTCAATCAGCTTTCCGTCCATCCTCACTTCACCATGGCGGACCACGGTCAAGATAATATGATTGGAATCGGTACGAGTTTGTTTTCGGTTCGTCGCATTTCTTCCCTCAACAGTGCTTGTAGATCAAATATTCAAAAATGCCACGAAAAGCATTGAAGATGCAGAAGCTGCCATGAGCAGAGCCAAGACGAGCGTGGAGAAGGCGAAAGTGTCCAAGGAGGGACGAAACAAAGTTGTTGCCAAAGCCAGTGAAATCGTCAAGGCGTTGCTAGAGCCCGCTTCTCAAGTGTCAAATTTGTTGAATTTCCTGGGCAATTTCTACCCTCCGTGCGGAACCGCCGGAACTATACTCCAGGGAATTGTGGATCTGGAGGCCGAAAGACGAGACAGTGATGTCCGAATTGGCCTCGTGTTTGTTGACATGGTCAGTGATTCTGCATTTTTGTCGAAGATATATGTTTAAGTATTGTTTTTGTAGTCTACAACCCTGATAGTTCTCGGGACATTGAAGCCAGGATTTCAACAAATTCAGAGTCTCGTGGCTCCCCTAGGCCAGCTACTGAATCGAATTTGTGACACAATGAAGAGCTTTGGGCAGTTTAGCGAGTCAGTCGTATTGTTTTCATTGATTATTTTCTTAAGTAATTGATTCAAAATTCCATCGTTATCCGCCAGAGCATTTTACGAGGCGAAGGGCCTGAAGTCGAAGCTTAGTACGTTTCCTAACATATAATATCGGAATCATCAGGGTCTTATTAGAAACTAGAGCACTACATTCATGCGAAGGACAACAAGGACAAGCTCACCGAGTTCCACGATAGTTTGGAGTCACACAAGAAGGACCTAAGCTTATTGCTCACGACTCAGACAGTCCTGATCACGTCTTCGAACGCAGCGTCATTGACGCGCATTGAAGGGAAAATCAATTTGGTATACGGCTTCTTTGCATCTCTCACCGATGAGAAGGAAGATCAGGCGATCGACTTCGTTAAAAGCCGTGGCGGCGAGGAGAATGTGAAGAATGTACGCTTTTACCTATGTCTTCGCGAAATATGAAATACGAGCTGAATTGGCATTACATACGTACAGAACGATTCACTTTTAGACAAGTTTGCGTCAAAACTTGGAGAGACTATTACTCCGAACATTCGTAGAACTATCAAAGAAAGTGCGGAGGAGATTTTCAAGCAAAGCTAGTCAGTAATCGTTAGCCGAAATGTTTAAAAACCACTCATTTAAGCCACTATGACTTAGTGCTGCGTTCAACCTCAAGTTGCAGTTCGCCATCGAACAGCATATTGAGGACTCAACCGAAGCGATTCTCAGGGAGGTAAGTATATCCGAACTTATTAGTTTGGCGTATGTTTAACGTTTTGCAGCTGCAATCAGGGCCCTACGAACTCATCAGCGATCTAGACGTGAAGGTATTTTGATTCCATTCCCTTACGTTCGTCATCTGACCATTTGTCTACTTATCCTTAGGAAATCTGGAAATGTGAGTATCGAAAAAGACAACATATAGACATTGCGTTTTTGACTATTACCTATAGCTACTGTATGTGTATTATCCTGACACAACGTACTATTGGCGGTTCTCACATAAATCAAGGCTGCAAAAGAGTCGAGCGTGAAGAGACGGCAATTCATCGACGGTAACTTTGATCAGCGTTTTTTGGACGATCGCATCGCTGAGTATGGCGTATAGCTATGGTCTATTATTTCAATGTTCAATGGAAGTCGTACAAAGTAAATAACAAGGCCAATCGGGAGGATGCTTGGACGAAGTCCATTATCTCCAAAGTACATTGTGAGTATCGCACATGTCCAGACACTCCCACTTCTGACAGAGACCGTTTAGATCATCCGGGTAAGTAATCATGCCTGACCTATGTAGATTGTCCACTGAAAGAAATAATCTTGTAGCCATCGGCGACGCCATTGATGATGGTACGCCGTTCTCGGCTTTTTCATACGACATCTATTCAACCTCAGGTCTTAATTAGATGCGAGTGGCTACATCTCCGTTGAAGAGGTGAACGAATTCTTGCGCAAAAAACCAGCTAATTGGACTATCCCTCAATGGATTGCTTAGTACGGACTCACACATTATTGTTGGCGAATAAAGTAATAATTGACGCCTTATTCTTTGCAGCTGGGCATACGGCTGGGATGCTGATAACATCTTGTAAGGAAATATTTTCCATGCTCACGGAATGAATACTGATGGAAGTGAACAGCTATCAAGAGAAAATCGAGAAATCCTATAAGCAACTTGAAAGCCTACGTGACAAGCAGGGGCCCAATGCGGAGCGTATTCAGCGATATCTTGAAGAGACACAGAAATGGGTCGAGTTAATCTCGGATAGTCTCTACACCATGGGTGATCTCGATGCAGCTGCAGAGACTCACATGGATAAACTACGCATCGAATGGCGCAATCTAGTCGAAAATACCATCAAAACTCGATTGAAGAGTGTGAACTTCAAAGTTGAGTATACTTCGATGAGCGCTATCTGTGGGAGCGAGAGGATTGAAGCGGTGAGTCGCGATGATCTGCCAGTCAGCATGAACTCATTCCACAAGCAGACCTTCCTTCCACTCGTTTCACTCATTTTATCTCGTCACGTCCATATGCTAAGTCAAGCGAAAGTCACAGATGAAGACGTGGAGGAGTCAATAAGCACAATTCAGACATTAATCGAGGTTGCTCATGACCGTATTGATGATCTCCGAGTCATTTGGCGACGTCAGCGGACGGATGTTGATGTGCAGATTAGGTACTATTCGAACGGCCTGTTCCAGGACTATTTCAAGGTAAGACATGCTTATCGGTACATTTTTAGACTTTATACTGACTATTGCTACGCGATGTCAAACAGGCAAACCGGATGGACTTCGAGACCGATAGTGAAGATGAAGATCTTAGCGAGTGGGATTCAGAAGATGAATGGGGCTCAGAGGACGATGCAGAAGAACAGCATGAACATGCAGCAGACGGAAAAGCCCCTGTCGCATCGACTGTTCAAGAACGCTCACTACCATCACAACGTGAGAATGCTTCTCCAGCGGCAGAAGTAAACGTGGAACGGAATATCGAGAGTCCGTCCCAGCGCTATCGTAGGGACACGCAGCGCGGTATCAAACCATCGTACGCACAAAGCGATGATGAAGAACCTAACGAGCACGTTGCTCTGAGTGTCGGAGGGCACGACAGTGAGAACGAACAGAGTGTGAATCGTTCAAGCGATGTTCCGCCCGATAGTGATGTGGAACAGGTTCATACGGACGAAGAACCTGGAGAACAGGATGTAGATGATGATCAGGACGAGGGAGAGCAAGGGGACGATGGAGGGGACGATAGCGATAATCAGAACGACTCGGATGAAGACTAGATGATGAACAAATTGTACACGGTTCACAGTGCTCGGTTTATCAACTCAAATAATAGAAACGCCTTATCCCTTTACTCTGACTGTTTCAAGCCAGCACCCTATTCTCTTGTGAAGATGCTTTTCTAGGGATCGTTCGGAATAACTTGAAGTGTCACAGGTCGTAATTCCTTGATTAGCCATGCTGCAAACACTTAGCACTTTCACAGGCAAATACCAGATTCCTAAACGGATTTACAAACCCCAGCGCTTACTGGACTGTATTGAATCGACGTAATTCCACCAGAATTGTCAAAGTAGCTTCAAGTTTGCAAATAGCAGCAGCCTAGAATGAGAGGAGAGAATCGCATTGGTCTTCCATGATGTTCGCTGCCAATAATGGTTGTAAACGTGGCCGTTAGCAGTGTTCGAAATGCCGAGATACTCTATACAAGTAACAAAACGAGGAGAATTCTATTTGGACTTGTTCCAGGGAGCTCATAAACATCAGTCTATAGACAGGGGCTTTCCGCAAGGTGTCAGGTGTTGTAAAATTGTAAGATGCAATCAAATTATATCTCTATCGTGAGGCCTCCAATGGGCTGCTTTACAATCGTGACTTCTCTAATCAAAGCATAAAATTCCTTGCAAACAAACAGTCAAAATGACAAAAGGTAAATGACTATGCATGATTGCCCCAAGTGACCCCAGGAGTACAACGTAAGTCTCTTAGACCGAGGTTCTGTTCTCTTGTATACAACAGGTATTATGAGAAAATAAGGTTCTGAGTCCTGACAGACTGAATATATGCAGACGAAGATCACGTAACACCAAAAATAACATGTCAACAATTTTTCAGGGCTACTTTCAAGCATTGTAACTTTGTAAGTGTTAAACGCCCATTCACTAAGAGTGTGTCAAATATTAAAGATACGTTTAAATACATACTATAAATATCGGATTAGCGCTAATTCATTGCTCCATATCGATTGCGGAACCTTGGAACGATGCGTTTGGTAAATGTGATTGGTATCATCAACATTCCTGTTACATGGAAGCGGGGAGATACAACATTGTACGTACAATTTCCTTGACCAACAGTATTCCTTCTGCTAGGAGGTAGACACGTTTTTGCAGATCGAGATTACACTGCGCTATCTTCTATGCATCTCTACTGGAGTCTACCTACCCACGGGCCGACCTAATGAACAGCGTCTCCAAAAGTGGTGTTGGAAGGGTATAAAAAGAGCTGGTGTAAACGTACTCAGCTTACTGTTTATCTGTACTCCACCATGGCCGAAGCGGATGATAGAATGCCTGGAATCGGTACGGATTATTCTCATCTTCGCTGTATCGCTGTCCCTTAAAGAATAACTCTAGACCGGATCTTTAAAAATGCCACCAAGAGCATTGAAGATGCAGAAGAGGCCATGAGCAAAGCCAGGGTGACCTTGGAGAGAGCTAAGGAATCCAAGGATGGGCGGAGCAAGATCGTGTCCACAGCTAGCGAAGTCGTTCATACCTTGCTAGAGCCAGCTTACCAGGTGGCGAATCTATTGCAAACTTTGGGGAGCGTGTGTCCGCCATGCAAAGCTGCCGGACAAACACTCCAGAGCATTGTAGCCCTCGAGTCCAAACGTCGCGAGAACGATGTTCGAATCGTGCTTCTTTTCGTCGATATGGTCAGCAAGCCTATATTTTAGTTAAAGATATACTAAATATGTGATCCAAACAGTCTACAACTTTGATAGTGCTTGGAACTCTGAAACCAGGATTCCAGGAGATCCAGGCTCTAGTAGTCCCTCTTAAAAAAGTGCTGACCGGCATTTGCGATACAATTCAAAGGTTTGGACGGTTCAGCGGGTTCGTATTTACACTCATACCAGGCAGAGATACATATACTCATGGTCACCCTTTACTTGTCAGAGAGTTCTATGGAGCAAAGGGTTTGAAGTCCACGCTCAGTGCGTTTCCTGAAAAATCTTGTGTAAAGGCTCCTTGTACTGAATGAAGAGCAGTACACCTTGTTTTTGCGAATGGAAACAAAGAAGAACTAAACAAATTCCACTCCGGCTTACAGGAACACAAGACGGAGTTGAACAACTTGCTCACAGCCCAGACAAATCTGATTACAGCATCCAACAAAGTGTCATTGGAACGCATTGAAGTTAAAATTAATCTGGTGTACGGCTTCTTTGCATCTCTCACCGATGAGAAGGAAGACCAGGCGATCGAATTCGTTAAAAGTCATGGAGGTGAGGAGAATGTCAAGAATGTACGTTCTATACAATTTCTACACGGGACGTAGATTGAAGCGACTGCACATACTCACAGAATGATTCACTCCTCGATAAACTTGCGTCAAAGTTTGGAGAGACTATCACTCCAAACGTCCTCAGAGCGATCAAAGAAAGTGCAGATGAGACCAGAAAGCAGAGCAGGTCAGTGACACGGTGTAGGTATGTAGAGGTGTTCACTAAATGCACTGAAAAACAGTGCCCTGTTCGATCTCAAGTTCGATTTTGTTTTCAAACAAATAGAACGTTCGACGAAGATGATGATGACTAAAGTGAGTATCTTCGAATTCATGACAATGTCGGGCTAAAGTGTGTTAGGTGGATTCAGGGCTTTATGAGCTCATAAGTGACAACGACATGAAGGTGCTTTTGACCTGGATCCCGGCATTTGAGAGTCTGACCCGTTCTTTTTTTTCCAACCAAAAGGATGTCTGGATGAGTAAGTCCTGAAGATGACTGCAATTGCACCGATTCTGATTTATGTCTGCAGGCATTGTATGTAGATTGCTAATTCAATGATTTACTGGAAGTCCTCACATCAATCAAGGCGACGAAACAATCAAACGTCAAGAGGCGACTATTCATTGATGGCAGGTCACTTGATGTTTTCTGTCAAATTGTGAATTTGAACAATATCAATAGCCACAGCCTACCATTTCAACAGTAAATGGAGGGATAACAAAGTAGATCATGAAGATGTCTGGACAAAGTCTCTCATCTCCAAAGTGCATTGTACGGCATGTTGTACATTTTCGTTAATCTATAGTTTAATCGATCATTTCTAGATCACCCAGGTGAGTACTACCTTCAAAATGAACAATATCTAGTAAAGAGTAACCCGCAGCTATCGGGGACGCCATTGATGACGGTAGGCCTTTAGTGCATCTTCTTGCTTCTACTTCATGTCGTATTTCCCCAATAGACGCGAGTGGATACATCTCTATTGAAGAACTGAACGAGTTTTTGCATAAAAAACCAACGAGATGGACCGTACCAGAATGGATTGCCTAGTAAGCAATACTGCTTTGTCTGTTTACAAATTTGCATATTAATACATCCCTACCTCTTCACAGCTGGGCATATGGTTGGGATGCTGATAACATCTTGTACGGATTTGATTCTACTAGCCTCTTGACGGATGCTGATGGATGAGAACAGTTACAAAGAGAAGATCGAGGAATCCTATTCTCAGCTCGAAATGCAGCGCGTCAAGCACAAGAATCTTATGAAACAGTATCTCGAAGCGCAAAAGACAATCAAATTGATTGCAGGGAGTCCTTACCCTATGAACGGTCTAGAGCCGATCGCAAAGGCTAAAATGAACAATTTGCGTAATGAGTGGCGCGCTAAAACTGAGAAAATCATTGGAGATCGACTGGAAAGTGTGAGCTTCAAGGTGGATCAGACTTCCATGGGTGCAATTTGTGGTAGCGAGAGGATTGAGGCGGTGAGTCAGAGAAACTTTCCAGGTCACAACTCACAACGCACAACTCACTCATTGGTTATATAGACGTTCCTACCGCTCGTTTCACTTATTTTAGATCACCACATTCGCATGCTAGGTCAAGAAGATGTTACCGCCGAAAACATAGAGGAGGCTATAAGCACAATTGATGCCCTGTGCAAGATTGCAATTAGTCGTATTCATGACCTGTGGCACATTTGGAGACGCCAGAGGTTTGATGTGAACGTACAGATACACTATTATGTCAATGGTCTGTTTCAAGCTTATTACGAGGTAATAGCTACTCGTTGAATTTGTCGCCAATGTCACAGTTGACAATTTTCATCCTGACCTTTCATTAGGAAAACCGCTCAGATTTCCAGACATCTAGCCTCGGGGTGCCCAAGGATGGTTGGAACTCTAAGGACAATGCAGGCAGTGCATATGAGCGAAAGGATACTCCAGATACGTTGGCAATCAAAGACGGCAAAGGACATAGTAAAGCAGGAGACGTGTATTTGACGCCGACGAGAACTCCCATTCAGAGTAACAAACGTCCGAGGCATGACATGGAGGAAGATGCAGGATACGGACTAGCAGCGAAATCCAGGAAGAAAAGGACGTAGCAAAGTGGTGAAGACGCGGATATGAAACTCTGCTTTGTAAAGCGAATGTAATTGTCGTAGTACTAGTTAGTAGTGTTGAACATGTCATACTTTTTGCTTCCTTACGTACACAATCCCCACGATAATCTCTTACAAAACCAAGTAAGGACTCAGGAGGCAATGATGAACATTGAACACGATCCATCCTGCTCAAACCACTGAGTTGTTGTAATACAGTCTCGATTTTCTATTGTGGAAATGTCTTGGCTTTGGGGGTGAGCTCCGAACATTGTTCCCCATCATCTGCTCACAATATTAATGAGGCAGCTCTGGTCCTGTCGACCCTAATGCCACTACCTTCCATCCAGTTGCGTCGCGCTACTCAGACAATGAGATTGCGGGAGAACTTGAACCGAAAGATTTAGAATGGTTGTGTGCAGGAGGCTTTGTCTCCGAGACCCAGACGTATTACCACTTCTTGGAGGATGGAACGTTCTTAATGTGCCAGGTGATCCATTCGTCTATTGGGTAAGTCGCACATGTCTGTTGTCCAATTCGATCGCCTGAAAATTGCGTTTGCTTGAAGCGTATGGTATCCTACGGTGCAGTTTACATTCAAGCTGTACAACCCTACAACGAAGGAGCATGTATGGAGGTCAACAAACGTTTCCAACTTCGTTAGTCCCGCTCCTGGTCACGACAAGAGATCCTGTAAGTCGGACCAATTCACGATTACGTATAAATCGAATCCCGGCTCCGATACTCCGGAGTCGTACACTATATTTTCACACGCTGCTGAAGATGTCCAAGTCTCGCTCGATGTTATGCGGCCTGCCTCTGCACCTGGGTGGAAGATTGGAAAGGGTCCCAAGTCAGGCACCTCATACTACGGCCCAGATATCGAGAAACCAGACGGATTTGTGTTCCACAGTTTCTGGCCGCGTACGCAATGTAAGGGCCATATCATATACAAGGGCAAGGCTATTGAAGCAAGCGGACCCGGTATGTATGTTCATGCCATAATGGGCATGCGCCCCAACCTTGTCGCATCGCGGTGGAACTTTGCCGACTTCCAGAGCAACGAACATGGTGGCGTCTCTGCGATCCAGATGGAGCTTACCACGCTCGACGCTTATGGCCCGAAGGGTTCCGGATCGGGAGGAGTGAAGGTCAACTTTGGGTCATTAGTGATTGGTGGGAAACTCGTTTGCGTAACGGCGGAGACGATATTGCCCGGTCAAAAGCCGTCAGATGCGGCTAAGTTCAAATCACGAGCATTCCATTATAATACCATACGCGACCCCGATACTTCGTACGCAGCTCCACAGGAACTTGAATTTATCTGGGCAGGACCATCTACGTTGAAGGATGTGCCGGGTCAATTGTCTGCGTCAGTTAAAGTAGACGTTGGATCCCCGTCGAAACCGAAAGGTCTTGTAGAGAAAGTGGATTTCCTTGCCGAGATTCCTGCCGTCGTGAAGGCTGTAATCAGTTACGTTGCCGGAACGAAGCCGTTCATATATCAGGTTGGTGCTTTTGTCTTGCAACATAGTCTACGACGCTGACGTGCGCTTCGAAGTGGTACAACCCGACGACATTGAAAGTGATTGCTCCAGACTCTATCATCCCAGGTGGATCTGCTGGTATAGAAATTCCGGGTACACTATACAACGAGGCGTCTTTCATCTCTTAATTACCTGCTCTTCCCTGTTGTACTATCTAGCACATCAATGCAAGCAATGGAATATCTCATAATTTCTCTTTGTTTCTCTACTCTTACTCTTACAGATAATGCAAAGAGACGACATAACAGCTTAAAATCTTCTCCATGGACGGGAATATCATGATACTTAACAGACTCCATCGCTCCTGATCGCACATTGACCAAGGTCATGATTCGTAAGTCCATCGTCCCTGGGAAGGATATCCTAAACGATCGTTCCATTAACTATCATTGATAATGGATTTTGAGACAAAGGAACGCACGAAGTCGAAAATTCCAACTGGTAAAGCCAGAGTGACGCAAGCATTGGGCGAGTCGACGAGTGCTCCGACATGGCTTTCCACTGGTGCAGCTGATAACAGTATATCTAGAACAAATAAAGAGTTAGAAAAGCCAACGTCAAGAGAAGGATTGCTCACAGGCTTGTTCACGGGCTAGACGCGCAAATAGTCAGCGAAATGGCTCAAGCCAAAATAATTAATGCGTAAAGAGTCAATCCTCACTATACCCAAGCTGTTACACGTCGTTAGATACAAGTGCGATCAAATCGTTAAGGAAGTATTGAGGAGTGGCATTACCTTCATGAGATATGCGATAGCATTGAGCGCTGCTTGTTTATACGCGACCGTCCTACGGAATGCTCTTCAAAAAGAAGGCATTTATTACTCGGAGTTCATACTTACGCATCCATGTTATACTGCTTTCCGTCGCCATCTACTCCGCTCTGTAATTACCCGAATTGATCCAGAGACAGGTGTTGTCACGTACGATAGTCTACAGAAAGACCTTCGAATACGAGCTTAAATGCGATGAGGATCTGCATAGCGAACAAGCAATGAGAGTAAGCCAACCTTTGAGGAATAAAGCGGATCGATTGGCGACGGCTACAGAATGAGCACATTAGCATTCCAAACCAAGGAGTGAAAAGTTAGTTGATCTAATCACCAAGAATATAGGCTGCTTCAGAGCAAACTTCTCTACGCCTCCTTTGATGATGCTTGTCTTTAACGTAATAATACCGGCCTACAAAAACGGCCGGTAAGCTGATATATGAGACATGAGGAGAATGTATATCACTAACCATTTCAATGGCTCCGCAGAAAGACATCTATTGCTTATGAGAGATTAGTATTACTGGTATGTAGTCCACAAAATTACCTCTCCCTAGAATGTCGATGAATTGAATCAATGGATCGCTATCGTCAAAGAATGCTGGTTGCTCACATCGCCTTGAGAAAAATGCAAATCGCCAACAGACAGGTTTGCTCCTTAACGGTCTGTCAAAATCTGTCGAAGATGCGATGCATAAATATAAGCGTACCTTTTATAAAAACGGGGAAGTAGCATCTCGATCCTCTACAAGATTTAGATTGTGATGACTCAGCCTCTCGCAAGCAAGCCTCGGAAGGCAACGACATACCTTGACAAGTTCTTGATCTACATGCGTTTGATCAATACCTACGTTGACATGTCAGATGAAAACGGGTCTTACATCACAGTTTCCACCATGCTCTCGACCGGGAATCGTCCTAGCGCCTTCCCGTGCAATCTTATCCACGAGATCTATAGGTAGATCCTGTCCGATGTAAGCACCCTTAGGTTCTGGAGGGAAGGCCACGGCTGGCACGGAGTCGGCATGAGCCGCGATGAGTTCGCCTTCGCGCTTGTTCCATGTCGCAAGTAGCTCAGCAGATGGTGCTGTTCCTCTGTGAAATCGTAGCACGAGTCGGTCAGTTGGCGAATTAGGACATTCAGTAGATGAGGTCACATACATGAGACCGGGATGCGATACACCCGCGAAGCGTACCCCGGGAATGTGTCTCGATGTTGCGTATATTCCTGGGAAACTTCAGTACGCACTGGCTATATGCGCATACGTACTCCACGGACCTTCAATGTCCCAAATAGCTTTGCATGCCTTACTGTTAAACTCGCGAGCTGCGGATACTTATGAGCAGGGCCCTAGGCGGACGAACAGTATCTCATACCAAACAATCCGCCTCCGTTGGTCAATTCAAATATACCCTGGGAAGCAAATCATTAGCCTAATATAAACCGTGCTAAGCTGCGAATATGACAAACAGTGAACCCCCAGGGCATTTGCTCGAAAGGTGTGACTGCCACAGTAAATCAACGAACTTTGGATAGGATGGAAACCGAGATAAGCACCATCAAGAATGTCGACGACGAGACAATCTCCCGGCTCTGCGCCTTCCACAGCAATAGGTCCACTCAAATTATGCACCTTCGAGAGATCAACGTTCTTAACATCGTCACTGTCTAGTAATACAAGCTCTCTTAGATTATAAAGTGCATGTGGAATGGCACAGACTTACTATCGTTGTTTCCAATTTGTCCGCCAGTCCAATCTGATTTGGTAGATCTATTTATTTTTCAGAGACAACACCTAGGTTTCCCGTACCGATGCATTCAATCTTGAAAACCTGCACAAGTCTCATAGTAAGAACGTGTTTACATTGCATACATGCAACTCACTTCTCCAGGCTTGACAGCCACCACTGCGGGAATGTCAGGGCTTGACAAGTGCAAACAGTCATAAAATAGAATTAGATATAAAAAGGAATTGATATACTGCCAACGATTATGAAGAGCCTTATCAAAATGATAGACGTGACGTCAGCATGGCTTCATTCACCCAAATATATCAGGCAACTGTACCTTCTGCTTATCCGAGGCCCTTCATAACACAGATTATTCAGTCAAGAATGAGACAAGCTTGCAGATATAATGGACAAACACGAAGGGATTGATCTATGACATGCCAAATTAAGCGTCGGAGTCAAACGGAAGTCGAAAGGAAGTCAATGCACTCACTTTAATCAAAGTCGGATATGGAACAGAGTTTGCTTTGGTAGCCATGGCCTATACTCTGGATCGCGAAGGGATGGAAAGAGAACCTAGACGTCAAGAGGAAGGTGAGAGAGACGAAGAGAAGGACACCTCTGCCATTATTTATCATCAGCTGGTCCAGTTGATAAGGCGCTCAAGACCGTGGTTAAATTCTGGGCCCAATATTCATAGCACCCGTTGAATAGATAAGGTCTGTGAGATTGCGAAGGCTAGAAATAATGAGGTACATATCGAAGAAATGCCAAGTTCCCACCAAATGATATAATTGCAATTGTCACGAGGCCAAATGATAATTTGAAACACAGCAAATAAATACCGTTAATTGTAGATAGGATCGTCACAGTGAGAGTCGTGAGTCGTTACAGATCAGGAAATAGATAGCAAATAGAGATCCGAGTGAGACACAGGAGTATGAATCGTTCCAAATATGCAAATGATCACAGCATACACAAGACAAGAGAGAAGAAAAAACAAACAAGAAGAAACAAGAAGACGAGAAAAAATTGCTACAAACCGTTCTATTGTCCGAATCCTTGTTGATATTTTCTGATTAGATCTTTCAATCGCGCCTGGCCGAAAGCTAGGTCGCTCGCAGCGGGTGCTTTTACAGATTGCGCTCTTGGTGTTGCTGATTCTGATGCAGGTTGTTCCGCAATGGTGGGAATGGCATTTGTTGGTGGGTATGATCGTTTGGGGTATGGTGCTTGTATAGGACGAGCCAGTGATGCAGTGGATGATAATACAGGTGTTGCAAGGGAAGACGACACCACAGCCGGAACGGATGTGGATTTCACCATTCTCGCTCGGCGAGCGGTTAAATCACCAACATTCGTATTTACGTCGTCGTGTTGCTTCTTGGCATGGGGAGGTGTCTTCGACGCTGCCTTGTGTTTGTCAGACGGCGACATCTTTGGCTGGGAACCTTTGAAAGTTGGACTGAAAGTACCAGCCTTCTCAGTCGGTCGGGCTGCAGATGAAGTTGGTTCTTGCTGCGATGCTAAGGACGACCATAGCGTTGCTACTGATGTAACCTTACCACCACGGCCACCACGAGCAGAACGGATATCGTATTTGTGCTCCAACAGTTGACGCTTGTTTGGGAACTCTGCTATTCGACGCAGCACGGGTTTCGGTGGTGATAAACTGTTTGCTAAGGGCGAGTGTAATGTGGGAGCAGGTTCCTTTGGAGGAGATGTCGGAGAACGGGGCTCTTTGGAGGATTTGGTTTTTGGAACCTCGAACGTGGAGGATGTGTCCTTCGCATTATGTAGAATGAATCCAGAGGATCGAGTCGGAATTCCATCTGCCTTCGGAACGTCTGACGTTTCTAGTGCAGGCACCGCTGGAGAGCGAAGTAAAGGGTGCGGATCTATATCCGCTTTAGAAGGAAGGTCGTCAGTAGGAGAAATTGGACTGCTAATTGGTGCAGTGTCGGCTTCAGGAGGTGAGGCAGACTGAAGTCCACCTAACCAAGCTGCTACACGACCAGTTGCAGCTTTCCGAAGTTGAGCTGTATTGCTACTGCGTTTCCCTTTCTCCTTTCCATTGACGGTACGTCTGTCTGGAGACCTATCCTTCTCGGCGCTGACAGCTGGTTTAGCGGGAGTTGAAGTGAGAACCTCATCATCGACATGTAACGCGGGTGATGGCAGTCTATCCAATGACATGTCTGCTCCAAGCGCAAGGCTTGATATAGCTGAGTCATTGAGCGGATCACAACGTGGATCATTCGGCGACGGTATTGTAATCGGACCAGGTAAAACACTTCGAACGTCTATTCGACGGTCGGTGTCAGGCTTGCGAGTTCCAACTTGCTCGAGCAGTTTAGCCTCAAGGGCAGCTAGGCCACTCTCTCTGGCCCAGATCTCTGGACGCGGACGTGTAGGAACTGGCTGTAGAGTAGGTTCCGGTGGAAGCTTCGGCGTGGTAGGCGCATCCAGTGCAGGAGGCCTGGGAAGCGACTTATTCCTCTCATTATTCTTATTTTGAGATTCCAACTCCTCTGCAGCCATGCGTTCTAAATCAATGACATGTTCACTCTTGACAGTTCCTCGGTCAAACGAGAAGGATTGCTTCGGAGTAAGTACTGGTCTAGGAGAGAGAACTTGCTGTTCTTCTGTGGGACTTGCCTTCCTAACTGTGTCCACCGGTGACTGAGTTACTTGCAATGTTCCCGGAGCATTATCAGGTACCGGAGCGAGTGATGTTTGAGGGAACCTATGGGCGGGAGGTGATACTGACCGATTACGCGAGGACATGCGTAGATGAGCAGCAATACGTGACGCTCGTTCTCCTTTTCCAGGTTCACCTTGTTCGGGACGAGCTTCACGTGAATCCGGGTTTGGGGAGATGCCGGTGGAGATGACACCGTTCTGTGTCGGAGGCAGCGCAGCGAGGTTCGTCGGTTGTGTTGGCAGAGCAGGCAATTGTCCCGCAACGAATGGATCCGCGCTTGATGGACGGGCCGGGTAAGCGTATTCCATCAGAGGCGGTGGCGGGTAGTAATAGTGCTGGTCGTGCATCATCATTACTGGCGGGACAGCTTGTGGTGGAGGCGACCAAACTGGCACATTCGGAGTGAGAATAGGCGGTGACATGGGCGGGCTCATATATGCTGTGGGATAAAGATCGTACGTCGGTCCCAGTGGCGGGGATTGATACACAGAATGCACTGGAGGCGAGTACAACCTTTGTGGTAGCTCTGGCGGGGGCGCGAATAACTCTGGAGATGGCGGCAAGAGTTGCATAGCAGCGGGATGAACGATGGAAACGGGCAATTCAAAAATGATGTCCTTGCTGCCAAAACCCATTCCGATCTTGATTTCTATAATGCAACGGACATCAAATAGACTCTCTACCGGCTCGCGACCATCCTCTTCCTCGCCCGTTTCAAGTCGACCGGCGCGCATTCCCTGGGCATTCTTGGGCACCGAAAACACGAGGTTCGCGATACCTTCTGTACCCGGCTGCACAATATAGTCCGGACCTCTAAATGGGACGTTGGCAAGGACGTCCGATATTTGAAGTGACTTTTGGAGGTGAGATGTAGTCGGAAGATGAAGATGACGCGATAAAGTCAAGGAGAGACTGGCTGTCTATTATAGATTTATGTAAGAATACTGCTTCAAAGAAAAGAATTACGGAGAACATACTCGTTTACTAGAATGGTTTTTAACAAACAGTTCGATGCACGCGTCTCGTCCACCAACAATGTACGGATTGAGAATACGCCCCTGGGCCCAAATCTTGCCATTTTCTCCGACAACAACTCCCTCGACATCCGAAGCATCTCCAGGAGCTTCAATTACTGAAATCTCCTTCCTTTCGAGTACTCTTTGCCGTTCACCTCTCCATGATACGCTAGCGCTACCTCGCACCTCGTACTTGAGCTTCGCAAGTCCTTTCCCGAAGTCAATACTAGCAGGAGAGGAGACCGGAAGAGGAAACCGAAAGAAGAACGTTGTTGTCCCTTTTCTCGCCAGATAATAATCCACAGGGAGCATGTCATCATTACCAGGCAATGGATGCGGATGCACGGCATTCGATGGGGGTAAGCCCGGTCCTTGGAAATAACGCGTTAAATGCATGAACGTGTTTGTCGCGGAATGATCGCGCGATGTGAGCTCTAAAAATTCTGTCAGTTTTCAATTACCACTACTCAACTCGCTTCCCTCACCTTGAATTGCAAAGAGCTCAACCCGGATATCACTAATACCCAAACCCCTTTCTGCCTTGCATTCAAGTTCCATTTTGCCCGCTACATGTTCACCGGCTATAAACAACGGATCTGGAAAATATAGGGATACCTTGACCTTGCTGTGTGTCGCAGTTGCATTCATAGGCTCTGGTCGCGCCATGGCGGCGCTGGCATAGGGATGCTGGTCTCTAATTTGACTCTCTATTAGCAGGTCATAGCACGTGGGAAACGAATGAGAGCCAAATCACGTGTTTCTTACAGTTTAAATTTCCCACGACGTTGACCAGCTCAATGACCTCATCATACCTGTATAGGGTACAATAGGCACACTTGCACTGCTGTCTTATCTACTACTTGCTACATCATCTTGGGCATTCTCTTTATCCGTTTCATCCATATTACCACCAAACACTAGTAGTAGACACTCAGAAAAAGCCTTCGAAACACAACGGACCAGCTCCTTCCATAAACCAAAAGTCGACATGCACAAAATAATCTTCTCACGCCCTTCCCTCTTCCTTGGTACCTGCCAAAAATCCACAACCACATTCTTTGGCTTTGTACAGCTGCTCGTAGACTGCCTTCCACCCTTATACTGCCCAAATTTGCTGGGAAATTGCTTTCTGTGGACCCTGACTTTGTCCACTTTCTACCACTACTACTGAGCTACTGGTTACTAATAATCTGAATAGTTTCTATTTCACATATTACACACTCCACTGCCCAGCTCCTGACCAAGTGTCTTGTCTTACAGTATTTTGGAAAATGATTGCAAATCACTGCTTTGACTCAAATCCAATTAGCATTGTCTCAAGTTTGTGATCTGGATGCTCTGGAAAGCAGGAAACAGGAATTGCAGGTCGGACTAATACAAGAGATACTAGCAAGTCATCTAATCAATTAGTACCCGGTTACTCAAACCCTGTCCTATCTTTAATGTAATCAGACATTTGACCTAAGTAGCTCCTTTAGACAAACAAACTGGATCTAGATGAAGTGCTGTCTTTCCTATGCCTACAGACCTTCTTTGTATGTTGTTTACTTTGGATGTTAAGACATTGTCCGGATCCTGAACCTGACCGGTACCTGGATTGAAATGGACATCTGTTTGCTAGCTTAGAGCTCTCCAGACCTGTTGATACAGCTGCCCAATTCGGAACAAATGTTGTCCTATTGCAAGTCAATGTCTGCATTACATACTTCTATATAGGCAGCAATTACAAAAGACCATAACCTCCCTGAAAATTTTCAGGCATTCCGGATGGCCAGTCGGTCGCTGCAGGGCCAGAGAGTTGCAGTCTGTGGCACCAGATTACTCGTCGGAGACGGTTGCAGAATTCGATCTGAAGTGCATTGTCTCCGCCAGGGCAGACACTTCGGAGGTAATTTGCCTGTGGTCCACTTTTCGAAGTTGCAAGAGAAGCCGGTTGCTCAAAGCGCAAGAGAGGACTGCTTGCATACTAAAACTTAAGAGTCAGTATTAATATTATAGTCAGGAGTCATCAAGATCATACTTCAAGAGAATGTGGCTCAAAGGACTCTATTTTACAGTAGTGTCAGCACAAAACGACAGAGATGCAGGCTGCAGTTCACCTTTTCGTGAAGTAGCAGCATCATGTTCGCAAATGCCATGCCTATAGTCATACAGTTCAATTGGGCTGTTCAAAAAGAACGAGTTCTCACTCACAAATGATGGATAAAAAGTACATTGCCCCTGTGCGTGCGTACTCAGAAAATAGTCATAAAATTAAATTTCTAAAAAGTTCAAGAATGACGTACCTCCAGCAAACATTGTCTTTAGAAGATTACTAAATAATCCCGAATTACGATCTGAGTTTGCTTAGTGAAAGCCAACTGAAAATACTCTGACGACTTACAATAGCTAAAGGCTCTTGCCAGCAAGAGTCCAAATACAACTTGTCGAGCGATGAATGGAGCCAAATTAGTCATCAGGCGTGCTCAAGGTAATAATTTTCATTGAAATCCCCACCTGTTGCCTCAGAGACAAGAATAAAATATGCCACCCACTCGTTCTGATCAGAGAATAACAAAAGGCACCCAGAATGGAACAGGCGGACTCGGGCAGCTGACATGTCAGGTCAGTTGTATTAGCCGCTGAAGAGGAGTGAACGAGTACCTCTACCAGACAAAGCAAAAGACACTGATAAATAATAGCCGCCAATTGCGCTACTCTTAAAATCAATGTGAGGAATGCTCCTAGTCTGTTACCAGCAAATTGAAATTACAGTTATCATAAACGCCAAGAAAATAAGTATCGTCCGGCGTCGTCCCCATAGAGCATATATTCTTACGCAGAGCGTCACTAAGTGCAGGTTAGCCCTAGAACATGAATCGTTAATCAAGAAACTTACCCTCAGCACATATATAGCACGAGGAGAGCAATACTGGCAACCACGATTAAAGCGCTTAAATTATTATTCATGGAATTGAATAAACATACGGGAAGAAATGACTACTGCGGCTTCACAATTCTGGGGAAATTGTGTCAGGATCATGCTTCAACGCGTTTTTCCGATGCCCACTGACATCATATGTAGTATCAAAAACTTCCACTTGAATACTTTAGGATCATCAAAGTAGCAAAATTGAAGAGGGGATACTTACTGTAGGTTGTGAACACCGCAGTAATTATTGGAAGGTAACGGTTCGTATAGAAGAGCGCCTTTGGCAGTGAAAACCGGGATGGCCATATAAGCTCCACCTGCAAATGTAATTTTGAACAATCCAGTCCATGCGAGAATTGTTCTGGAGCGCACTTCTCCCTTACTGGTTATCAGATACTCGTGAACCTCCCTTAGAAATTAGCACGAGCCTGCAGCAAAGAAATCATGTAAAGGCGTACTGCAAGGGCCAGAGCGGCGACTAGCGGCGCATTAGATTAGTCGAGTATTACGCAGGCCAGATATCATGTCCCACATTCACAAGCTTACCTGTAAAATACTGTTGAAGATACATGTCAGAGCGTGCTGAAATGCTAGATAATATCAAAATGCATACACGAAAAATCATGACCTCGCTTATTTCAGAATGAATACAGCCCTCATTTTGCAGATGCAGTATAGACATTGGGCTACAGAGTATTGCGGCGAGGAGATGAAAGGATATAGCTAAGAGGCAAACAGGCTAGCGGCTCGATTTACTTGAAAGTGATGATATTTAAGCATCCGATCGTAAACGCTTCTACCGCAGTATACCAATCCGATCAGGTAAGTTAATTACTGCAGATGCACACCTGCGATTCTGACACCTGAAACATCGCATTACTGCACGCGTTGTACGCTCCACTCGATAGAATGGCTTCAGGTAGAAGCGAATATTGTTGGCATAGGATTGAAGCAAGACCTTGTTGTTTTTTTCAATCTGTCAGGTGCTATCCTGACCGTTCACAAGGGAATGAATCACACCTCAGCAACCTTTCGGTTCTTGAAATGTTATACGAAATGAAATTGCAAGGAAGGTCTCGGTAACCTGTGAGTGAAGGAAACGAACACTACTGCAGTGAAGGGAGTGTAGACTGTGTAGTTAGGCTGCGCATCAACAAGTGTCAAGCTATATGGAAGCGTGTGTACTTACCTTCACATCGCTTGTAATTTTGTAATTTTCTGAGTGGTCTCGAACAGTCTTACATGTCACTGCAACAGCGAGTAGATGGTCTGTCCGATTAGTAGCTACTGCCGGACTAGGCAAGGCAAGGAAGGGTTACTGTGTAACCATGGAGAATATTTGTCACACCTTTTGCAGAAAGTAACTGCAATGCCTTTTACAGAAGGTAGGATTATTTGTTTATTTATTTTCATTTGCAGATTCCATTCAAGTTCATTTTTCACTTAATAAAAAATAACATGAAAGTCACTTTTTTCTTCTTGATGCTGCTTTAAAAATATGCAAGGTGTGTGATATATACATTGGACACAGTTTTACATTGTTTGTGTGATCAACAAAGCTTACTGTATATAGAAAGCAGATGCTGAACAACGACAAACAGGGTGCGTCCGCTAAGCGCTTAGTACCTCATCTTAGTCGTTTCATCATCGTCCAAAGTCCCGGAGTCCCGAAATACATACCAAGTTCGCACTGCAAATTTCAACTCGGAAACAGCCCCATCCATACCCCCTGAAACCTGCTTCCCGAAGACAAAAATGGTTGCTACAAAACAAGTCTAACCCTCTCCAACCTTTCCGCCAGTGCATCCAAATAATTCACTCACGTTTCTCGGCTTTATTCACTGTATGCAAACTGTGTTCCACACTCGCTTAACTTTGCAGAGAAGGTCTGCAGTGTGAAGGAGCTTGTGTACATAGGAAACGTGAGTGCAAAGGTAGTGGAGAGTCATGGAGATGAAGAGATGAAGAGGATAGGAGACCCATGAGCTTGTTTGAGGCTTGTGAAGAGGTTGGCAGATGGGGTGGCAGGGTGTTGAGGTGGAGCATGTATTATGAGATGATTAGTTCATCAACAGACGAACCACAAGACAATGACTTCATAATGTCTCAGTTAGAATACATACAATATAAGGATGAGAGACACTGAGCAGTCAATTGTCACCTCACCCCTTGTCTATGTGTGCCCCCTTTAAGTTCTCCCTCTCAACAGGTTATGAGCCTTGAGCTCCCTACATACATGCATCCACTATACACTCTAAACTCTTTACTTGTATACATTTGCACACATTTGCATCATGGTTCCCTCATGTACAGATACACACTGTAAACCAGCTGATGTACCCAAATACTTTGGTCAAAACATTACAATGCTTAAGACTGAAGTGAACTACAAGATGTAGCACTACTGTATTGTTTCTAGTGTTACAGTTATATGCTTTGAACACTTACTAAAGGATGAACCACAGAACAAAGCTAAGAGGGAGATAGCTAAGGCTATTCATGTATGTATAGTTAATAACATTACTGACACAATATTGGCAAACTATATACACTTCAATACATCTATCCCTCAGTTAATGAAAGTACTTGAAGAATGCTTTAACTCTTAGACAGTATGTAAAAAGGCTATTGACAAATTAGTACTGTTTATTTGTAGAGACCATGTAAAACATTTTAGACATACATTAGACAGACTTGAGGAAGCATACACAACTCTGTCTGCTAACAGTGATCCACTACACAACTCTACATACAAAGTAGTAATATTGCTTACTACTCCTGAGTAATATACACACATAGTAAATACAATAATACAATCTACTGATGCCCAAAACAAAGGCAAACCAGTTAATGAACATAAGAAAGTTGAACTGAAGTAACTAATCCTTACATTACAGAATGCCTACAACAATTACTGTACTAAACAAGTATAAGATTCTAATGATCAGACAAAGAATAATACACACATTAATACAATGTATAAAGCTAATAAGTAGAGAAAATTTAATCTGCCAAATCTGTTCAATCTAACAAAAGCAAAATGTTTCAATTGTAGAAAAACAGGACATTTCTCTAAGGAATGCTACAAACCTCCTACTGAAGCTACAAAGCTTGTATGTACTAAACATCAGGCTAACATTGTGTATAAAATGAATCAAACTGTAGAAAACACAACAAACACATTTATTATTAAAAACCTAAACAAAAACAATGTTGAATTAAAGGAAGACAATGTTGAAATGAACAATAATGCTTACACTCTTATTCCAAGCAACCAGGACAAACAATTCGAACAATACACTTCCTAGGTATGTACTAACATATTTACAAATACAATCATAGCTAACAAGAAATCCTATACACAAACAATAGATTTACTTGATTCTGGTACATTAATACATGCTACTCCCTATCTATTTTGATTAACAGATGTATACAACATAACTCCTACAATTGTAACTATTGCAAATAGGTCAACAATGACTCTTAATCAAGCTAGATCTATGTGTATCAAAATCCTAAAGAATATACAAGAAAAAAGTGTTATAACATTACAAAACATCTATTACTATCTACAAATGACCTTTTCCCTCATAAGTTAAGTACTACTATGTAGGGAAGGTTATTCTTTTATGTTTACAAACAATAATTGTACTATAACATTACTATGTAATGAATACATTAGACATATACAATTGAGAAATAACTTGTATATTTTGTACAATAATCACTTATTAAAAACAATGAACAAACTATCTATTTATGATATACATAAACACCTTAGACACATAAGTTACAATTATATTAAACAATTATTAAAGACACAACCAAGTGTACTATCAACTAAAATAACAAACTACAAAGAAAAAGAATGTATTGAATGTATAAAAGCAAATATTGAACATACACTAATACCAAAACTATGTCAATCTCCTCTTGCAAATCAATTTGGAGATCTTATTCATATTAATATTATTGGTCCTATTAAACTGTACACATATAAGAACATACACTACTTATTAACAATTGTAGATGATTCTACTTGTTAGTGTATAATGCTCAAATTACAAACAAAATCTGATGTATATACATAATACATACAATGGACAACTAAAATATTTACACAGTACAGAGTTAAAATAAAGCTTTTACAAAGTAATAATGATACTGTATTCCTTAGTAAAGATTTCCAACAATATTTAGATTCACAAGAAACAAAATGAAGATTAACAGTACATCATACTCTACAACAGAACAGAATAGTGGAACAAATGCATAAAACTATATTTAGAGGTGTAAGAGCATATCTAACATCTACTGAATTACTATTTACATTATAGGCTGAAGCAACAATTCATATTACTTATATTCATAATAGAACACTGTATGCTACTTTAAATTATAATACCCTACATTACAAATGTTACAGAACACACAGAACAATTGATAATATATACGAATTTGGTTAATATATTATCATTCACAATGAAAATCCTACAAAAATACAATAGTAAGGTATCATTACTTGTTGGATAGGATTAGACAATGAAAGTAAAGGCTATAAAACTTGGCACAATAATAAAATTACCATTGAACAAAATATTCAATTTCTCAAAGGTAAACCTCCTCAAATTGAAGGGGAGAAAATAGACAATACAAACAATGATACAAACAAGTGTTTAATAATTAAAAATAATGAAACAGACAATAGAATAACAAGAACAGACAACAATGATACAGACAACACTGATCCTAACAAAAAAGGAAAAGCAGCAGAACCAACAGACTTAATAGACAACAAAGTTAAATTAACTAAAAAAGAAGTAGAACCTAAATTATATTGATTGGAACAGAAACAGAAACTGACAGAATGTACTATTGAGCTTGAACAACACATGGAGAATAAATGTATAATGAAATGCATGTATGTACTTAGCAAAAAGGATGAAGATAATATTGCCATTCATTTAACAGTAAATTTAATACTAAAATAAAGTGAAAA